CTGCTTTTAGGAATTTTCACCCACTTTTCCATGCAGAACGCTTCTAGTTTTAGCATCAGTTTCTTGACTGCCTGGATCACATTTGCCTCCAGAATTCGCTGATATTAACTTAAATCCATTCTTCCATCTAGCTGTGCAATGTTTCTTGTGCCATTGACATAAGAGCATTAAAGATCCAGCCCTGCTTAACACTTAGCAAGGTGTTCCCTTCATCAGTTGCTGCTCCTTTTTTCTCCAAATACACCTTTGGTGACTCAGTAGCCAGTGTGGTGTGAGCATATGGGTATCTTCTTCAGTCTTGTTTGAAAAGCATGTCAGGTCGCTCCTTATAAGTGTGCCAAGAGTGTGCAAAGCTGCATTAAAGCATAGGGAGGGGGTGCTTTCTAAAATAAAAGACAGGAAAAAGTTTTATATGTTTATCACTTTTTTGGGTTACTGCATAATCCCCTATGTGTTCTGAGTATGCCTTTAGTTTTAATGTTTTTACTACTGTTCTTAAGTGACTTGGACAAGTACTGCAAAGATTTCTATGAACACATGAACATGAATACATATTTTAAACCACTGATCAAACCAGGTGGACTTAAATCTCACACCGTGTAACTTGATTTATTAGAAGGCAACTGGTTTTGGTCTATAGAGGATTTTGTAATTCCACCACTCCTTATATTCTAGATGGAAACTGATTCTGGTCTGCAGAGGATTTGGTAATTCCACCACTCCTTTTTTCCCCAAAGCTCCTTTTCCACTGTGTGTGTAATAAACAGTTTAGGAAAGTCTTGGAGAGCAGTGAAGACGCCAGAGGATATTTTTGCTTCGCTCACATTCGGCCTTTTGTTGAAAGGCACTGCAAATCATGTTTTGCAGCCATGATATTTCAGAGTTCCTTCCCACAGGCTACGGGCAGGGTTTATTTATCTAAACTGGCTGACTGTGTGGTCACTGTTGGCAAATGCCGATGAGAGATGGCCCGACAACTCGGTTTTATTTATTTTCGGTCTTTTCTCACTCCCAGCCTGAATGGTGGAAACATGTTTCATTTGTATTTGTCTCGTCTTCTCATACCAAGGATGAATCCTAAACAGCCGTGTGCAAACGTTTGGGCACCCTTGGTCAAATAAACCGGTGTTGTTGATTTTCTAAGTGACGATAAGTGAACACATCCTCTACAGAGAACACAATTCTGCACATTTTAATGCGCCATTATTGCTTATTTGCTGAATTCAATACATTAGGAGACAAAATCCACAAAAAAACATAGAATGTGGTGCAAAAGTTAAGAGTTAAACTCAGCAAATAAATAAAAATTGTGTTCTAAAAACGAAAGGAATAAAGCCATGTTTGTATGTGTTCCTGTAGAGGATGTGTTCACTTATTTTCACTTAGAAAATCAACAAAACGTCATGTGACCAGAGGTATTCAAACTTTTGCATACGACTGTATAATGTCATCAAGCGCAGCCTGCATTTTTATGCTAAAGTTATATTAAGTTATAATTATAATAAGTTAAGTTATGCAGAATTTATTAAAAAAAGGAATATTACACATTGAACCATCAAGACTGAATGATCTGGACTTGTAGGAGATAATCTGGAGTATCGTGAGACAGCAGGCATGGTGCAGATAATGTTAGAACGATGGTATAGTTGAAACATGATTTGATCCGTTCATTAGTTTTCCTCGTAAGACATTTGTTCCCAATAATGCTAATTTTTATTAGCACGTCTATGGGGTTTGTAATGTTAGCACCAAACTAGCTGTAGTGCACATTCACTGGCTCATTTATGGCAACACTAGCTTGAATATGGGCATTGAATCTTTTAAAAGTGATTCAGGTAACACCATGAGTAACATGTCAGTTTCCTCCCTTTCAATGATGCACATAAATGCTACCTGAGATTGGTAACAGCTCCTCCTTGTGGAGAATCTAAAGCCTGCTAAATACACAAGTAAGGGTGTCAAGCCAGGTCCACAGGTATTCCACCTGAAAATATGGATTGTGTTTGCTTGTCTTTAGTTATAATATAAATGCCAGAGCTAATTCAGTGCAGTGTAGGCTTGATGATTTTTTTAAGTTCTGCATAAATAATAATTTGACAGGAGAACCACAAATCATCTGCAGTTGATTATTATGATTATTTAATGATAATATATCACTGCTGTTAGGCCAAAACCTCTCCATATCTCCATTTTTGTCATTTTTTTAACATCATTTGAAAAGGTCAGTTGCCCTTTGTGTCATAATTTCATGATGAATAAAATTATTGGAAAAATTATTTATCCATTTACTTCAGATACTACTATTTAAGAATGTTTTTCCTTGTCCTGTAAAGTTACCTTTTTAGAGATATGAGGTTTTATTCAACACCAGCGATATGATAATTCTATAATTATTATGATGGGACATCAGTATATTCCTTAGTTATAAAGAACTGGAAAAAAATCCCATATTTAACACTAATGTTAATAAGAAATATGAGGGTGTTTTTTGCAGCCTATTTTAAACCAGAAGAACCAGGAAAGCGATGTGAAGTTTGTCCAGTCTTCTTTCATAATGTTGATGTAATATATAAAATATATATTATATATATACAATATATATAGATATACATTCTTTAAATTGTCCTTTTGATAATATATTTTTGCTTATATTATTCAATAAAAAATTCACAGTGTCGTTCTTATGGTTCCTCTAGCCACATGCACTGTCCAATCAAACTGCGCTTCCTGGAATGTCCACCAAATCTCACAGGAGGTGAGGATTACGTAGAGGAAGCAGCCGTGTTCTACGCCGACCCTCTCCAGTGGCTCAGGATGGCTTTCCCATACAAGTCTACACTGCCCTCACATGTGGTCTTATTCGATCCACTTGAGAAGGTATTAAAGAATCAGAAAAAGCTAAAGCCAGCCGGGGAACCCCACCCATTTTTAAAGATTTCTGCAGCTGTTTAGACAACAGGCTTGTTGAGGAATGTTTGATTGTAGAGACTCTGATTTCTTTACAGTGGTGGTGATAGGAACCAGGGGTCGCCATGACTACAACACAAATATAGACATTTTATTTACTATCCAGAACCACCAGTGAACCTACACATCCTTTTTATTTTTTATATGGAATGTTTATCGTAAAATAGTGAAAAATCTGAAAAAGATTTGTGCCTCACAATGTCCTCCATGTACCCCTCCACCATGAATGGGCTTAAAAAATAAGTCTGAGGCAGAAACCTTCTCGAATTTATCATAAAACAATCTGTGTAACAGCATGACTATGACGTTTTATGTTCCTGGCTATTAAGACCGAGCAATAGTCTGTAGAACCTCTGGATGACTTTGTTTACATCTTAGCCACTTAAGTTATGCAGAAAGTTTTAAAATTTGGTGAAATTCCCCTTCAACATGAGCACAAATGAGGAATAATGTTTATATTAATGACTCTACTTTGTCCAACCATTCATTGTAGGACATTTCGGCTTTTCTGGACGGAAACAGGTATGTGAAACAAGCTGAGATATTCCACACTCATCTTCCGGAAGGACGGGTGGGGAAGAAGATTCTGATATACGGACAGTAGCTCAAGAGCTCACAGAATCACTGGACCATTGATGGTTTTTTTATAGTGATTTTTACAAAGTTGAAACTGACACTGTGCAACTTTTCTAATTAAATACTTGATTTTGTAAAAGGTGTCATTTCATCTCTTTTCTTGACTAAATACAAATTAAGAACATCTTTAAAATCACCATTAAAGGAACGGTTTGGCAACAAATCCAATGTACCTGATTTTCCACTTACCCTAGACGTAGTCAATCCACCAAGACAGATTTGGAGTCCAAATTTTTGCTTCTTTACTTTAGGACTGGAGCAAGAAAGCTAATGTTGCTAACAAACATTAGACTCAGCAGTCACCCAAAGAGCTCAGATTGCACAAAACCACCAAAATTCACCAAAACGCCTTTAAACCCACTCAAACCGCATCCAGGTCTTCATTAAGGTCACGCAGACTTGCTGATGTGGTTTAGAACACGGACTTACTATGAACTAAAAATGAACAAGACTTTACCGCTTTAGACAACACCAGGTAGGAATGAGCAATATGGCCAAAATATTGTAATGATACTTCCTGATACATGATAGGCATCACAGTATTTGATCAGTTGGAACAGACTAAATAGAACCTGCAGTGCCACATATCAAAACACTATACCAATAATAATAATAATAAACCCATAACTACAGTGATTTTTATTCAGAGTTTTACAAACTGCCAATTAAAGAGACCTAATTATGTTCTCTTTGTAACAAAACATGCAGTGGTCAGTACTGACGATATTCATGCTATGAAAAGCTTATTGTGACATAATTTATCACAATAATGATATTGCCACCATGCCCTCCCCTAACACCAGGGCAGGTAGTAGGACTGATCTTGGATCAGATTCCTCCTTTTTTAAGACATTGTTACAAATACTGATTCCAGATCAGCACTCCTGAGGTGGTTTAAGCATGAAGTGGCCTTCCAGTTTTATTTTTATAGCTCACAGCAAGTCATAATGTGGCCTGAACTACTTCGGCAGGTCTGCGCCACCTTAACAAAGACCTGGATGCAGATTGAGTGGATCAGAAGAAAGTTTTGGGCACGTGGGTATTTAAAACAAAAGTTTTGGGTGACTACTGACTTCTAGTGTTTGTTAGCAACATTAGCCTCAAAGCTCAAGTTCTAAACTAAAGAAGCAAAGTTTGGATTCCAAACACGTCTCGGCTGATTGACTACATTTCGGATAAAAGGACAACTGTGTAAATTTGATTTTTCGCACAACTGTTGCTTTCACATTACCTTCAGTCTAAACTACAGACACACACACATTATCAAAGCCGCTTATCCTTCTGGGTCGCAGGGGGCGCTGGAGCCTATCCCAAGACAAGAAGACAGGAAACACCCTCAACAGATCAGTCTAAACTATAGGAATATTTTATGGTTTAAAAGAAACACAAACAACATATCAGTTTTTAATCTTGAGTTTTTATTCTAGGGACTTTCGTGCATAATGATTAGCGCGACAGCAAACAAAAAATAATTACATTTTGCAGAATTTCCAGAAAACAACGCTTCAGTTGGAATGTTACTTAACATTACAAGCGCAAAAAAAAACACATTGCACACAAGATGGCAACTTCAATATTTCACGCCTCTGTATTATTTCTAGTAGATAAATTCTAATCAGTGTTGACATTTAGCAGCAGTAAGAAAACCAAAGCACACGGAACAACACACCAAAGGAAGGTATCTCCAAAAATGATTTAATGCGAAGGTTCCCGATGCTACCACAGAGGAATTTTACAGCTGAAATTTCAGTAGAATAAATTCTAAGTGCTTATTTGGTCCTTGCAAAAATGGAATATTGTCTTTTTCAGCTGATTATCAGTCCATAGTTAACTGTAACTCCTTTACTTTTATGACATATACAGATTATCTGATATAAAGTAGTCCAATTGGATCACTATTATGATTTTCAGAGTTTTTTTTTTCTTAATCAAAAAGTTCGTACTTTAAATTACGTGCCTTCTCAAACATACGATTATGATTCATACAGCAAACTGGCAAAAATCACTTCTAACAAGGAAAGCCAGAACAAAAATCTGTCTTATAATGAACTTGTTTCTTAACAAACTTCTTTCTGCGGACCGTCTAAGAAAGCTTTGACAAAGCGACATTGACTACTGCCTGTATTCGCACCTAGTGACAGCTGACCGCAAAAAACAGCGACAGATAGGGAGCACATTCAACCAGCATTTATATTTGTGCAAAATCACAAAAACTGGGGAGGAAATGCTTTTATAAAAAAAAAAAACCTCCGTTGCAACAGGATCACTTTAGGAGCTACAACAGAAACAACTAAGATCTGCATTGTGTGCTAGTATTTGGGATCGAACGGCATGGGCCCCAGCTCTATTTTGACGTCAGCAAAGTGTCTGTCGGGGCTGCGTCCCGAACGGGCCCATTTCCTGTCCCGCGGGTGCAGAGGGCGCGAATGTTGGTGCTTTCGCTGCTGCCGCTGGCACGCCTGCTCCGCTTTGACCTTAGACCCCGGCCCTTCCAAGGGTCGACTGTAAATTTACAAACAGCAAACGTTTTTTAAAAGTTTTTTTTTTTTCCACCATAAAGCTTCACGCGCCGCTCACAGCAAGTCATTGTCAACATGCAGAGGCTACTGTGTCTCAGACCTAGTAGTAAAAAGGCAAGAGAGGAAAGCGGTAAGCTCAGGTGCTGCAGACAGACATGCAGCTTATAAAAGCCCACAGCACACCAACCCGAACACATTCCAACAGACAGTCTCGCGGGAACAGATGTGATCTCACGACAAGAACGTGTGAGAGGAATTAGAGCCGAATGATCTGGGGAAAATATCTGATTGGAATTTTTTTTGCCAAGAAGACCAGACTTTTTTTTTCTCCTAGAAGAATTTTACAATTTTACAAATGACTTTTACCAAGAATTTTTGGCCAAGAAGACCAAAAAGACCAACAAAACCAAAACCTTTTCTGGCTTGAGGCTTGACCCCCTGAATGTAATGTGCCAGACTGCCAGTAAGGCAGTTCACAAGCTCTGTTATTGGGTTCAATTTCCCCGTTTTTGATAAAGTAGGCTATTACTTTGAAACATTCTGGCTCTTGCTATTTGAAAATTGCACTTTCTTAAATTGTGATTTCCATGTAAAAATGATTAATCTTTAGTCCTAGTGGGTGGGCAGACTTGTCAGGGTGGGAACAAACCGAGTGTGTAATCTCAAAACCAATCCAACGGCTCGTGAAGGCTGATGTCCAGAAACAATGGAAATATATTTTTTATCTAACGTGTTGGCACATCGTCCACCTGTAAGGAGATAACAAGTCCTCGTCGCCATCCAGTGCTGTACCAAATAGCTTATTAGCTCCTCTGAAGAGGCAGCCTCTGTTACTCTTCCAGCTAGTTTTAAATGAAGGAACTTCTTTTAAAATATATTCTCTGCGGTCACCTAAAAAAGGTAATGCATACAGCTAGAGATGGGCAATATTACAATATTTATCGTAATGAATTGCATCACAATATGTCACAATGTGCTTTTCTGAGCAGTCAGTACATAAAAAACACTTCCCAATTGCTTCTTTGATTAAAGAGAGCATAATTATTAATGTTTAATTGCATTTAATGCAATACAGTGCGTAAAATGTTGAATACAAATCATTGGATTCATAGTTCTGATAGTATTTTTGTGACACTTTTTTGTCTGTTCTAACTAATCAATGTCATAAAAAATACATTTTGTGACGTATCATGTATCGTAAAAATCTTGTTGAAGTATCGCAATGTTCCATTTTGCCATATTGCCCGCCTCTACCAACAAGTCGTTAACATTTAAGGCTACCCGAAAATGCACATCTCATCTTAGCATGGCTGAAAAGTCCCCCAAAAAACTCCAATTAAGCATGTACAAAACATATTACATGCAGTATAAAAAACAGATAAAATGGATAGTTTTGGTTCTAAAATGTGACTGACTGAGCTGTGTTTGCAGCGGTTGTAAAATACTTGATCTTTGACCCCCTTTTCAACAACTGAATTCTGTGTTATTGCACCACGTCACCAAAAACACTGTGCTGTAACTGGAATAACTCGCAGAGACCACCAAGTGTGCTGATAAATGAAGTACGAACCCATTTTGTTCAAACTGAGAGGCTGACAACTTATTTTCTTAGCTAGAACTGGGCCAATCAGTGATCCAAAAGGCTACAAGGCTCCATTGATATCATGGGAGCAGCAGATGTTGGTGCAAGCCAACACCAAAATTTTAAAAAGTTGTCCCCAACTTCTCGTCACGAGATCACGTCTGGACCTGCAAGACTACCCCAAACACTGAGTTAGTTCGTTGTACCTGTATTTGCTGAGATGTCTTTAGAATATTCCCTCCCATTCACATGGGTAAAGGTGCCTTTCCACTTCTGAGCATTCGAAATACAACCAACTGCTAACACTGAAACATTAATTTGTCTTGAAAAATGTTGGGCCAGTGTGCTTAAGGCTTTAGATGATGATATTAGATGTTTATACCTGAAAAAATATTGATTAAATGGATAAAACAAATAAGACTTCCTTACCTTGGGCCGTATCGTTTTAAATATGTATCCCCAAAGAAGTGCCTGTATATGTAATCATCCAGATCTTCAAAAACTTCATCATCTCCACCCTGGTACTCATCCATATCCTCCAGGTAGTCTTCGACGCCGCTGACAAAGTCCGTGAACAGCATCTGGTCATGAATAAAGAGTCCGTTATGGAAGAAATTATTGATAAAGCTCTCCAGCTCCCTCCAGTGGTGGAAATGGCCCACTTCCTGCTGGAGGTAGCTATGGAGGAGCTGGTTGAACTCGTCTGCTCTTATAGGGTCCATGGCTTTGTTGAAGAGGCTCATTGACTCTTGGTAGGCACAGTCGAACACGCCGGTGCACCCTTTGGGCACAGCTCTCTGTCCCATGATTACTTGTTCCTTCTGGGCACCTGATTTGCGTATGTTGCGATCCGCCTGGAAGGAAGAGGAGTCCACTGTGGATTTGCGAGGGTGTTGGTGCAGAGGCCTGTGGTGCTGCCAGTGGGTATCTTCCGTACGTTTGTCACTTTGCTCTTTGAAACCCTCTTTCTTGAATTGCTGCTGTTGAATCTTTGCATCCTTCCTCTCATGGGACCTCTTCTGCTGCGGTCGTTGGCTCCTCTCGAAAATGTCCAATGCCGAGTCCTTAAGGTGCCGGAATGTCGACTTGACAGAATCCGAGAACTTCTTAAGGTTCTCTTTGACAGCTTCTTTGGCCTTCTTGATCTGCTCCTTGTGGTGGTGCACAAACTCCTTGGTGGAATTCTTCACCGCATCAAAGGTCTCCTTCACCTTCCCCATCATTCCTTCTTTGGGTTTCCTGGCCTTGATCTGCCTGTCTCCTTTGGCTCTCTCTTCCTTTGTTTCCACATACAGACGTTCCCACAGATCCGAACGCTGCTGCTCAAAGCTCAGCTTCTTCTCCAGTTCCTGAAGTCGTGTCTGGAGTTCTTCTGTTTCAGGGTCCTCATCTGTTCCAGAATCCTTCTGGCTCAACTCCTCCAGCTCCTCCCTCAGCTTGTCCGTCACCTTCCGCTCCTTGTCCAGCTCCTTCCGCAGCACCTGTGCCTCTGCCATCAGTGCCTCCTTCTGATTGAGGAAGCTCCGGACCCTCTGCTTTTCCTCCAACAGGTGGTCCTTCAGGCGCTGGTTCTCGGACAGGATCGAGTCCGCGCCAGCGCCTTTCTCCTCGAGCTCGCGGATCTGAGCACGGAGGTGCCGTAGCTCATCCTGGAGCACAGATAGAGATGCCTCCTCACGCTCCAGGGAACTCTTTAGGGCCTGGTTCTCCAAAGCAAGGTGCTTCTGGCGAGACTCCATATCAGTCTTGGCCTGTTGAAGCTGTTCAAACAAATCTTCTCTCTGTGCCTGAAATTTGACATGAAAACCAATGAGAAATGAAACTGATAAACCAGTTAATATCACCTGTATGGTTTCTCTGAATATGACATAGGACTGGGCAACAGGGCCAAAAAAATAAATAAATTTTACAGTAAATAATTTCAACATTAAGAATATCTTGCTAGCTAACTCTAACTGCACCACTGGTTTGTGCTGTTGTTAGTGAATAGCCAGACTTCTGCTTCCACCCTAGTGTGCAGAAGTAGCTGATGTTCACACTTAAAGCTTTTGACACTAATAAAGAATTGAGAATAAGACTGATAATCATTACCATTTTATCACCCAGCCATTTAGTGCAAATAACACAACCAGGGAAATGCACAGTAACATTAATAAAACAATCAGACATACCAAAAACACGTCAATGGTGAATTTTGTTGCAGCAGTTTTCTTTTTTGAATGTAAAGCCATGTCAAATTTTGTACACTTGTAACTACTGAAACCAGTAAAAAGGGTCACCTGCAGTTCAGCGTCTTTGGCTCTGAGATGCTGGTTTTCTTTGGTAATCTTATCCATAATGCCTGTCAGGGACATCACCATGTCTCGCTTGTCCTCAAGGTCTTCCCTCAGACTTTCAACCACATCCTGAACGTACAGAGACAGCAACGTCAGAATGGGCTCCTGCACTACGACTAGATCAGCCTTAGTCAGATAAGCTTAAAGACCCAGTCATACGTGCATCTGCCAGCGAATTTTTGCAAGCGGAATTACCTTCATTTCAATAGAATTTGCCATGATGAGCGATTTTGTGTTACAGACTCCTGGGGCAAATTAATTTTGAATGCAAAATTCTATGTCCTGTCAAACTTTCATATGCAAATTTGCATCCTCAGCCAATAGCAATACTGCTTTTGCGGTAATGGAGGAAAAGCTCATTTTAGCAGAGTTTTTGCATGAACTTGTAAGCATTTCATAAGACAGAGAGACTGCATGATACACATTCAGGCAGGAGACTGTGATGTTAGCTACTTGGCTAACTGCAGCTACACACGACATTTTTTTGCTACAGATCAGTGTGTACTATGCTGTGGCAAGTATATAATTACCTGAAATATTTATGTTCACTTTTCTGTTTTCACTGTTTGTGGCAGGCAGGTTAGCCAGTTTGCTAACAGCTATTTGTGCCCCTTGGCTAATCAGAAATAAACACAAATCATCCCACTGCCACTAAATTTTTTTCTACAGGTTAGTGTGCAACATGTATATTCTTTTGTGAGGTTATTGTGTGTATGGATAGCAAGCTAGCTAGCCTGCTAGCTGCACCAACATGGAAGGTCCAATCTCGGTCATGTCCATTTTGCAAGGCGACGCAATCTGCAAATGTCTAGTCCGACTGCGGCTTAAAATGAAAAATCTGGTGAAAAATGACTTCCCCTTTACTCCAAACATCAGCCAACACGTTTGGTGACTTAAGTTTGGTTCTTGAGTTTTTTACTGGAGGTACACGGCTAATGTAGCTAATAAGTAATGGAGGCTTATACCTCACCAATTAGCATGATGCTATCTGCATGCCTAAATAATAAAACAGTTGCCTCCAATTGCATCAAACTGTTAAATAATCTCATAGCTATGTTTGTGTATATAAGATACATTAATCTCATTGTTTCAGTGCAGAAATAAAGGTAGTCTAACAAAACCTTACAGACCTTTCAGATGTTTCAAATGAAGGTAAAAATATGACTTGACTGACTTTGAGGGCAACAGGGCTCTGCAAGTCTTGCTAGATTCTCTGGCCAGGAAGTTAAAGCTATCTCAGTGGCAGTAAAACTGCTTGTGGCATCAAAGATGAAATTACAGAGAGGCGAAGATGGACGTCACTGAAACTGAAACAAAGTTCACCAAAGAGGGCATGCAACAGGAGAGGGGACAGGACCAAGAACATCACAAAACCTCAACCAGCCAAATCCCTGGAAAACCCAAGGCGTTCCAAATTCTGGCCAAAACTGACACTAATAGTAGTTGCTGATACCTTAAAGGGAGCTGATTTCTAACCATTAGAGCACTGAAACTGAGTGGTTTTCACATTAATAACCCTTTTTGACATCAAGATTTGATCATTATTTATATCTTTTAAAAATATGTAATCCTGGGCAGTCCTCAGTGACAGGGAAGTTTACTTCTGTTATTTCCTCCATACTCTAAACATGATGTTTCCAATAATTTGGCTGCTTGAACCCAGATCCTTGTGCAAAAACAGAATAGGATTTCTCAGCCCCAGTCCAGCACTTCATCCGCCACCCTGCATATTTCAGCACTTTCCCTGCTCTAACAAATTTGATTCAGACCTTGCTGACAGTGTCTTTCTCTCTCCGACACTGATGAAGCTCTCGAGTCTCGCTCAGCTCATTCACACGGGTCTTCTCCACCATCCTGTGCCTCTCCTGTATCTGCACCGTGCCTGTAACACATACAGAAATAAAGCACTAGTGTAAAGCATTCACTAACTACATGTTACCACTTTATAGTGGCAATAAAACACATCTTTGTAGTCCAGAGTGGACAGAACTGTTTCTGTGGAGAGTCTCCTTTCTTATACATAAAAAAAACTCATGAAATTTTAACATGAATTCCTGGACCTCTGAGACTAAAACACAGAAGGAACTGCAGTTGAATTATGTAGTTCATTGAGTTCAACAACTACAAGTTGTGACCAAATATTATAATGATGTTTAGGTCTTTTTATTTAATTGTTAAAAATCTGTTGCTTTCCATACCAAGGTCATAAGATCAGTGTACATTAAACTGCAGATGTCATTTTCTGAGACCCCACATCTACTATAATTCGAGGCCAAAAAACTTTGCTCAGCATTTGTGTCCTTCATGCTGCAGTGCTTGGACCCCGGTGATTGCCATTTGAGGTTTAATTTGTAAAGGTCACTTAGCTCTCACAGCGGTTACAGTCCACAGAAATAAACCCAACACAAATTCCAAACACAGACTAAAGGAGGCAGACTGTCTTGGTTGCTAACAAGGATAATTTACATATATTAACCTTTTCTCATCTCTTTGAAAGCTTCTGAGGGAAAAAAAACCAAACGTACAAAAATAAAGCCAACGCTAACAAAACGTGAGAAGAGAGCCAAGGACAGAAGACGTTTAATTTAGCAATCAGATTTTTCCTACAGTGTTCAAGCCCTGAATGATTACCTGAACAACACTTGGAATTATTATTTTCATTTATTCAGTGTTTATCATGTTCTTGTATTTTCTATAATTTCATCAGTTTTCATGTTTTTTTGTTTTGTTTTTAATCTAATTAAGACAAAGAATACACCAGCAGTCTGGCCTGTTTGCTGGACCGCCATCAGAGATTTCACTGTTGTATAAGAGGGCCGTTTAATTGCTGGTTGTTTTGCTTAGCTTCTGTTTTGGTAGCCTGTTTAAATGCCAGCGTGCAAAGTCAACATTCTCTGCTTTAATTTGATGAGACCGTATTGGCTAATATCGCTGGTCAGTGCACTGCAAATACAGAGCTCAGTCTGGTATTGACTGTTTTTGTGAAGCCACATTCATGAGAATTTACATTCTCTTGAGACCGCAGCAAAAGCTAAAGACTCGGGTCTTATAATAAACCAGCTGTTCTTAATTCAACTGTGAGATTGACAGTTATGCAGGTTATTTAAGCTTTTTGTGACATGTACGATCATCATGCCTCGTAAATATATTATCATTTGAGGCCAGTGCTATGCGTCATTGGGGATAAAAACAAACAATAAAGCATGTTTGTATTCAAACAGAATTGCATGCTCTCAAAGGTGCTCCTATATCAAAATTCAGGTCACATCGCAATCACACTGTAGAACCCTGATCTGTTAACTGGCAGCTCTATTGGGTGTATTTTAGCAGGGAAAGCACCAAATCGTGCCTGACTGCAGCCCTCCAGGCCTGGGAGTGACTACTGCTGCACTGGTGTCAGAGTACTGCACTGCAAACCCATTAAAATTTTATTTAACAAACTTTGGTTAAACTAGATAGTAATGTACATGTTGTGTTTGATGAGTTGTTAGCAAACCGACTGTTTTTACTGACCGTAAAAGTGTCCGAAGCCCATGCTGATGGCAATGATAAGGGCGAGCAGGATGCATTTGTTGAGCGTCCCGCTGACCTGCCGCTGCTGCGGGGCGAAAATGCGAGCCTCCCTGTGTTCTTCTGCCTCGTCCTCAGCACCATCACCACCCTGACACAGGATTCATATGGTGTTTTACTAAAACACGCACACCAGCCGACAGAGGTGGACAATTCGGGTCCGGAAAATAAAAATCCTGCCCAGGATTTAGTCCCAACTGTCTGACATTTCTGGACCTGGACTACTCATCACTGTGCTGACCCTGCTGCCACAGCATTCATACATTTACTAACTAAATACACACAAATAAAATACCACTGCAAGGCTCGTTCTGTTATTCACCAAACATGTTTCTGCAGTAGGCTGATAATTATCAGCTCAGTTACTGAGCAAACACACACTCAACTACTGTAAATATCCTTTAGTTTCCCAGTCCTGCTCCTGAAGTGGCTCTGCTTTGGGTTTAGTGCTTTCTCTGCTCTGACACATTTGGCTCAAATGACTGGACAATTAACAGGCCCTTTATACATACTTGGAAATAATAATGGTGTGTATGGACAACCCAGTTCAACTAAAACGATCTTGTCTTTAACTACCAACTGCTTATTAAGTTTACCAATGATGCTGCTCACTGACCACTGCAAAAAACAAAAGATTGTTAAATCTTATATCTAGTCAATATATCTAATAGTTCTCACTATGAGATTGTGGTAAACATATTGTAAGATTACTCAAATAATTTATAGATATTTCTACTAATAAAATTGATTTAAAAATTACTTAATTGGCAGATGATGTTGATTATTTTAAGAAACAATGATTGAAACAAGTACAATTATCTGCCAAAGCAGCAAGATATATTCTTAGAATATTCTTTAATTGAGAAATATTAAATCTACTGACCGGATTTAGGATGATTTTTCTTACAAAAATCTATTGTTTTGCAGTGCAAGATAATGAACAGCAGGCAAAAATGCCTTGTCCACAAATATGCCACTTGTTGTCAACTCATAAATTCCCAATGCACAATAAGCTCCTTCGTGAGCTGAATCAGGTGTGCTGGAGCTGTTAAAACACTAAACTGTGCAGTGCTGTGTTCCTTCAGGAGCAGGACTGGAGCTCACAGAAGTTCCTGAGGAGTAACATAAGGTGCACCTCCTCTCTCTCCCTTTGAACCTCCTGCTGCTCCTCGGGCTCAGAGCCAGCCGTGCTCCTCCTCAGCCGGCGCCTCCTCACCACCGGACTGGCCTTCATCCCACCATCCTCATCTTCAGTGCTGGTGCTGCAGGAGTCTCTGCGCACGGGACGCTCTGCTGGGAAAACTACACAGACAATACACAAAGAAATGTAAACTACCATTCAAACATTAGAAATTGGAAAGTTTGATGGAGTTGTTTAGGCTGTTTGCTATCTTTTAGCTAGCTGACCAGCCTAGTTCTACTTAAGAACATAAGTTGCCAGCCCCTCCGTTTAAACAAAAAACGGGTTCTTACTTCATCGGTACACTCGGTGCTCCATGTGAGCAGCATGAGATTATTCCATTAAGAGCACAAGAGCACGAGTTCAGTCCCTGTGAGGTGGTCATAGGTGTGCGTATACCATGTATTTTACAAGGGCTTCAAATGTGGCTCAGCCAGTCATATTCTAGGACCGGAACTATTTGTTTTATAATGTCCACTTTATCAGCTCCACTTACCATATAAGTGCACTTTGTAGTTCTACAGTTACAGATTGTTGTCCATCTGTTTCTCTGCATACTTTGTTACCCTGTTCTTCAATGGTCAGCTCCCCCAAAGGACCGCCACAGAGCAGGTATTATTTGGGTGATGGATCATGAGCTCCAGTTTTGGAAACTCCTGTTTTCTCACTTACTTTCCTTTGACTTTCTTCTTCAGCAAGTGCATTACTGTATATCTATGTGAATGAATGGTCTTTGACTTTTGCACAGTACTTTATATAAAACTATTTTTGAAAAGTTATTATAAACCTTTAGACAGTAGTGTAAAAGTACTTGCAAACTCTGGTTTGGACAAGCAGATCAGCAATTACATGGGTTTCTTAATGAGAGTCACTCACTGTTTGATGACATGCTGATGTTTCCATACAAACACAGTAAATACATCTCTGCTGTAAACACAACTCAGTCCAGCACGCAGAGCGGAAAAACAGGCTGTTAGTGTTGAGGTGATGAGTTAATACAGTGCAGCACTGTTCGTACAAACACAGCTCCAGCTAGCACTGCCTGAAGCACTGGTAGATGTTTTCTTATGTAGCAGGATGACCTTTAAAAAACCCCAAAAACCTGTGTAGTACTGTGGAAAATGACCTGAGGCTTATGCCACGCATTTTTCATTAAGTCTGACCAGCTTGCTTGCAACTACAATTCTGTGTAGCTGTAATTCTAAACATGACATTGTGGGTGGGCAATATGGAAAAAATACAGCATCATGACACTAGAAGACACCCTTAAAATACACAATACGTATCAAAATATTTATTGAATTTTTCCCCAAACATTAGTCAAAAGAATTGATGACGCTTTGTTTCCCTTCTTGTCCCGCAAAACAAAACAAAAAAACAAAATGAAGAACAGTAGTTCACTGTTCCGGTCACAGATATACACAGCTAGATGTTCAACCAGGGTCCGACCAGGCGCGTCAACGCCACCGCCATTTTGGGGCGGTCAACCTCGCTGCTGGACTGCATTCAGTACCATTACAGAGCTGCAGTTTAATAAAGATACTATTTCAAGCATTTCAAGGATACTGCACTCAGGATTATATAACTGAGGGAACGCAGTGATCAACGCTCGTGTCTGTCTGTTGATGTTATTGTTTTCCTCTGGTTTTATATTAAACTTATTTCTTTAATAGTCTATTCAGGGGATCTTTATGTACTAGTTATTAATTTACAGCGATGGTTAATATTTTGTAGCTAGGTCAATTATAACATTTCTTAATCTGTGTAGATATTCATAATAGATTATCATTAGCACCTTCACCAGAAAGTGACTGCTGCACCATTTAATGTGGAACGCGAAAACTCGAACAAACAGCTGGCAAACAGAAAGCTAACTTCAGCTTCGTCCTTCTCACTGTGTTTTTGGGGTTTATTTATTTTTATGTGCATTAAGATTAGAAGTGATTCACACATTGATGGATTTGCTGATGTGTGTAAGATTATGTTTCTCACGCTAAACTCGGTTTTTAATGTCAAGTGCAGACTGAATACTTTCCTGCTGGTCCAGACGGATAATTGGCGCAATCACAGTTATTACAGAGATAAAGGCTACCGAAAGTACCGTCTGTACAGCCTGGATTAATCTGTGTCTGAAGATTATAACAAAACAAATTTGGTGAAAATCGTTTGAGTAATAAGAAGTTGTGGCTGATTTAATCCTCACACTCATCGTCTCTCAATACAAGTGAATCTGTTCACAAGTGAATCTTGACCGCTTCAACATGGCGGACACGCAGACGTATCGCCTCAGATAGAGAACAACAGACAATGCAGCATCTAGGAATGTATATCTATAGTTTCGGTCCAGTCAGCATTAGCTTAGATGGCATGATAACGGCTATGCTGACTACAGAACATTTTGTATTTTGTTGTGTGCTATTTGCGTAAAGGAGAGGTTAGTCGGATTTCTGTTTACACATCCCAAGCAAAAGTCTGTTTTTTTGTGTCACAAGCAGTAGGGTTGGGCCAACAGACGATGCCATCGTCCATCGACGATGCTTCTGTTCCCCAATTGAACATTTCACCCATAATCACACACACAGTGGTCACCTTCCCCAATATCAATGTCCATCTCAATGTTTCCCAGCAGACACTGTCATATGCCACTTGGTAGACATCACCTAGCCCTAACATACAGTAAGAGGCACACTACTTTAACGATGTATCGCTTTTCATATCGTCATCGTGATGTCCAACAGCTTTATCGAAACATCGCATTTTATATCAATATCGTACAGCCTTACTGCACACATAAACTACATTCCGTATTAAGGTGCTGAGGTTTTTCGCTTTTGTAAAAGCAGTGAGGCCTTCGAGGCTGTTACAGCGACTTCACATCACATAAAAGCACAGTTAACGCAGGAAGTCTCGTGGTTTATTGCTCCAACATCACAAGACAGATAAAACAAAACATAAACAAAACCAGCGAGCGCAGAGACAGAACACAGAACAGCACGATTCAGAAATGTGATAAACTCACTAAACGATGCTGAGAGTTCAGTTCCATTAAAACTATATAAGCAGAATATAAAAAGAGCTTAAAATTTATTGGCAGTCTCTTAGTGCTACAACTGTACCGGTGTGCGGTAGCCTTTAGCCAGCTGCAGTAAACGTTCTATGCTGATTAAAAGGCATGATGCAGCTCTACACTGAAGGAGCATACAGTTCAGACAGCTCACGGTTCTTAACCCTTTTGGGACTGACGAACGTGCCGGTGCATCAAATTAGATGTATCTCAGTGTTTCTATTAACATCTTCATGATAATACAGCACAGAAATACGGTTCAAAAGTTCCTAAATCTGTACAGATCCATTCCTTCTCATCATGAGATCATACGTGACTCACATCCAGAGTTATGAGCCAATGAAGACAAACACCGTCTGCCTCTCACTGTGTGTAAAGTAAAAAGTATTGGAAAGTATAGCGGTGAGGAGAACATTTATCTACTATTTTATTAAAGCATTACACTACTTTTCTCAACGCAAGTCTTTGGTAAACCAAATTTTGAACACCAAAACAATTCGTCCACATGAGCAAAGCTGTGTTTTCACAAGAGATATTAAGAATTTCTAAAACTGGACTTTTTTTTTTCTTTTTTTTCAGCTTTCAGGCTGAATTATCTCTTTACACAGTGCTCCAGGTCAAAGGGGCCACACCATAGAGAGAGCTGAGATTGTTCTGAACATTCTGATGTATAACGTGGGTATCCTGTTGTAAGCAAGTGCCTTTAAAGGGGCACTTAAGAATATATCGCTGCTGTCGGAAGAAAACCTTGTTTTTCATTTTTTGACATAATTTGAAAACACCCGTTGGTTCCATTGACTTACATTAAAAGTAAAGTAGGTTTTTTCATTCTCCTGTATAATTATCATTTTGGAGATACAAGGTTTTGTTCTGACAGCAGTCAAGAAAATGTCCTCAGACCCCAGAGGGTTAAATATGAGAATGTGTAATATTAGAGAGACCAATCTGCTTATAAGAATTCCTATTTTTTTTTTAAACATTTATACCCAATTTATAATGATGGCAACAATAGCAACAGCAGTGCCCATCTAACATTATATAGCCCAATATTTACAAACAGGAATTTTCCACAACCGGACTACACAAAGAAACAGCTCCAGTAAAGTGACATTGTGAGCGTTAACCAACATGTTTATCAGCGTCAGATATGGTCCAACACCACAGCACACTAAACCCTAGAGTATGCGCTGTGATAAGCTCTCTATTTCCAGCTCACACAAGGGAATGTGGTTCGTTAAGGGCCACAACACAACTAGGTCAACAGCCTTACTGTGGCATTTCCCACACCATAACACAGACAGACAGACAGACAGACACACACACACACACACACACACACACAACATGCTGCAAAACACACCACATCAGTGATCTGCACACACACCCATTGGCTGGAAGTTTCATCAGCCACCAGACTGACTAACGTGGCAGAACCTGTTCATTCCACATCATTCAAATCACATACAGCCCCAATAGAGATGCTCACACACCCTAAACTGAAAGTGCACATCGCCAATCCACTCACACAGCCATCAGCGGTAGGTTTCATCAGCCGCATTAATGTCACAGGATGTTAGGCCACACTGCTCAAACCACACCCACAAACACAAACACAAACGAGTCTCTAACAGTCTCTTCAGAGCCAACCATGCGTTGTGCAAGATGAAGCGAGGGAGCACCTGAGAAAGAGCGAGTGCTGTACAGCTGTTCTGTGAAGTGACCACTAAAGCGTCCGACACTCCTGCAAAAACCACGTCCGATCTTCAGCCAGCCTGCAGCTGCTGCAGAGAGAGGATCGCTGAGGCTTTCAGACTCCATTTATACAATACATAATAATGGGCCAAAAGAAATACAGCAAACCTAAGTGTTTTTAACGGTTCAGCACACTTTTGTCCATTTTTATGGATTAGATATATAATTAAGGGTCAGAAAGAAGAGCATAAACAAGACTGTTGAAATCAGAGGTGTCGCACAAAAACAATACAGCTGTATGCAAAAGTTCATATCACATGTTTATTTTCTAAGTGAAAATAAGATAAGACATCCTCTGCAGGGAACAAACTTAAAGATGGCATTTTTTTGCACAAGCTACACTGAAATGCAGTTTTTGTTTGTTATTGTACAGTTAAGGCAATGTAGGCTAAGCAGTTTGCACTGTGCTAGTTGTTGTACGTAAGCTTCCATTACTTAGCTAAATTAGCCTCGTAGCTCTTTAGTAAAACTAAAGAAGCAAACCTCACACACCAAGGCCCAATCCCATTTCACCCCTTCGCTCTCAGCCCTCACCCCTCAGTTTTGCACGTTCACGTCTAGGGGTAGGGTGTCCAGATTTTTGTTGAGATAGAGGGGTAGGGCGAAAACCGACTGAGGAAGAGACCAAAGAAACCCATAAATGTATTTTTCGTTGTATCTTAGTTTAATGTAATTTCAAGTCCTTTTCTTCATAAGAAGCATTAAAAAAATCACTAGAACTATGCTGATGTCTCGGTAGCTAGCTAGCTAAATTTCCCGTTCCCACCTTAAACCATTTAAGGTGGACCCGGAAAATTGGAACAAGAAGGGGGCGAATATCTGACTTCAGCTTCATATCACTGAAGAATGAGGGGTGGGTGATAATAAATAATTGTCCCCCTCTTTGAAGTCATATGATGCCCTAAATGTAACTAAAGTCCAGCAGTGAGGAGCTGAACTTTACCCTCCTCTGCTGTCACTGCAGACTGGGTCGCCTACAGAGCAGCGCTGGTAGCTGTTAATGAAGTGATGCTCTTTTTATTTGAGGGTTGTTCCATTTCGTAAGGAAGAATTCAACCACTACCCTGTAACTCAGTTCCAAAAGGCACAGTGACACTTGAAAACAAGCAGTAGGGGTAAAAATAAGAAACGGGACTGGGCCCAAGCGTGTCTTGGCTGACTGACTACATTTGGGATAAAGAGGGAAACGTGATTTGAGTGAAAGTTCAGCACAAGCGCACGTCTGCATGTTACTCACTCGTCTCTGCAGCACTGAAAGTATACTGGCTGCTTGATGAGGTCCCCAGGTAAAGCTCCTCATTCGTTGTCTCCTCATCCTCCTTAGCTACAGGCTCCTCCCACGCGCCGATCTCCGTCTCCCTGGAGTCTCCAAGGGTGATGATGTCAGAGTGATCGCTAGAGGAACAGAGGGGCACATGCTCCTCCAGCCCCGCACCCTCTCCTGCCTATGCACATGAAATTAGGGTTACAACACATCCTGTCATTACAGTACAAGAATTACTACTCCCAGCAGCTCTTCAGGGTAATTTCCCACAAACCAAATCATTTGCAAATACAACAAATATAACCTTGAGATCCTTAACCCTCAATATCACCTTGAGGAGGCATTTCAGAAAAGGATGAATACGGTAGATAAGTCAAAAGTGAGAAAATGTCCAGTGAGAAGACCCATTAGCTTTACTCCTATTAGACAGTCCTCACTTTGGGCTAAAACTGTCCGGCTATCTGAGAAATACTGCTGGGTGAAATACTCCAAATACACTTTTTGGAGGCTGTACTTTAGCCTGGCTGGATCTCATTGTTGTTTACATGCTTCAAAAGGTGTTATTTACAGCCACCAACTGGGAGATAATAAAAATATAGGAGTGAATTCTGTCATTCTGCAACTTAAAATTAAAAAAGTTACTTTAATATACAAAAGGTGAGGTCTTTAGGGTAAATTTCGAGAAATATCTTTCCGATTATTGTTAAAATTCACACCACATTCCAGTTGCATTACAGAGGAAACCAGAAGCATAGACCAGTTTAACTACACATAAAAGTCCTTGTCACATGTTAGTTTTTGCTCCACTCTCCCCCAAATACAGAATCTAACAGGTTTGTTAGTGTTGTTGCTGACATCTCAATCAGTTGGTTTCGTGGACGTTTAAGTAAAATATTCCTAACTGTAAGTCTCCTGTCAGTCTGCAGAATGGCCCAACATTTATAGAACCAAACTTCAGATATCAAACGTCTCCCATCGACTACATTTGCTGAAAAGGGAAAACTGTGCAAGTTTTTCATCAAACTATCACTTTGAGAGCCTCAGTCTGCAGACCTAGTTGAGTTACTCTGTAAAAGCACACGCTTCATCATCTCCTCGCCTGAAAGTGGCTTTTATTCAACAGTGTCACGCCTATTTATAGTCATCTGTTCTCATACTTGAAAACATGAAATTATGATGCTGATATCACTAATACAGCTGATGCTGATAAAGAAACTATGTTTGGAAGCTGAACTGAAGTTTTGATCCACGTCCATAAAAAACATGGTCTGGTTTTCCCAGTGTTTTTCTGTGCACATTCAAAGCATATTGTTCTTTAGACTAGACCTGATGGCTGAAAACTGGTACTGATCTGGTTCTTAGTCAGGGTCTTTTGGGAGCACATTCATACAATCTTAATCAGCTCTAATACATCAGTAGCAGGATTTATTAATACATTTATTTATGCACTTTTTTACTGATATACATCAAATATCAAAAATACAGAGCAGTATGTAAAAGTCTGAACACCATCAGTCCATTACATGTTTAGTTGTTTTTCTAAGTGAAAACAAGTTAACACTGACTTTTTTACAAATTTTTATTCATTTTCTCCTTTTAACATTTTGGGGGGGGGGTGGGATGTGGCACAGGCCACATTTTATGCTTTTATATGTTAAAATGCGCAGAAGTGTGTTCTCTGTAGAGGATGTTTTGACCTATTTTCACTTAGAAAACAACAAAAGGTGTCATTTGAGCAGGAGCACCCAGACATTTGCATAGGACTGAACAAATAAACAAATAAGCTTTGCTGGAAGGATTTAGTCTTAATGGATTAGTCTGTACCTGTTGGCCAGACTCAGCTTCCACCACAGTCTCTTCTATAAGAGTGGCGTCCAGAGAGGAGTCTCCAGCTGCTGCCGCAGCATCCTCCTCTGAAAACAGATTCAGGACAAGATATTCCTGATTGCTCCAGGTTTTGGAAATCCACAGAACTTTAATCAGTGGTCCTGCGATCCACTTTGAGGCAGAGCCAACAAACGTTACCTCGTGGAGAAGCAGGCTGGTCTGGAGCAGGAGCTCTGTCCACCTCTTCCTGATCATAATCTGCCCCGTTTTCGGGTCCCAGAGTCTCGATGTCTGAGCCCTTCAAAACACAGCACACGCATTTCGTTAAGCTCAGTCATATGCTCTTCAGAAGCAGATCGGGACTGGCATGTGAGCTTGGGGCTAGTGTGTTAGATCAAGACACCATAAAGCATAATTTTTGTTTAAAATATTGTATTTTAAGAAAGTTGTGTGCACTAACAAACTGAAAATTGACATACTGTAATTTTAACACATGGCATGTTTTTGGCCATCCTTTATTTTTTCTGCAAGGAAAAATGTATGAGGACACCAACGTATCATATTATTAACGAATAATGACTTTTGTGAAATGCATCCATCCATCCATCCCATCTCATATCATGATAAACCACCTTTCCCTTGTATTTTTTTCAATAAAAGAGTTTGAAGTAATATGTAAACACGGTAAAAAGTTTAACACACAGCATTCACTCCTCAGCCATATATGCAAACCATGCTCCTTTCTACGATGTTACAACTCTTTTACATATATCCACCTATTCAGCCCTGCATATTCACACTAATGCTCGAGGCGGGGTTTCAGCTCTGAGTGCTTTTTGAGTGAGGAACAACAGAGCACAGCCAGTCAGAATACAGCTCATTTACATATATCAATAACACTAAACTGTAACAGTACAGTTAATAAAATGCAGATATTACAATATAATTACTCAGTATTAGCTAAATGCTCTGCTCTTCTGGAGTTCAGTTCATGCAAATGTCATCAGCAAACGTTGGTTTGAAATACTGGTCAAATTTAAACATCCACCTAATGAAGATCTCTTTCTTTCTAAGCAAACATCCGCCGATATGACTCCAATATCACTGTGCATCCCTAATTGTACCACTGCATAAATATCTGCCTTTTATTCAGGTTACTGCATTCTCATCTGCCTAGAATTCCTGTATTGGTGCAGCCCTATAAAAATGTCTCCACAGCTGAGAGGAGAGCACTCACCTCGTTGCTGATGACAGTCCATCCGCACGAGGACTCCGTATCACTGGAGCTTTCTGACATCTTCTAAACAGCTGGTGAAGAGCAGGACAGCCTACAGCTGAATCACCATGAAGTTCAGCACCTGCTGCTGCACACAATGTCAAGCATACGGCACATTTGCATATGAAAATCAGACCAGATATACTTGTACATGTTACAACATTAGCTGCTCAATAGCTGACCCACATTACAGTGGATTTTACATATTACCACACTCTCCGGCATGCTCTGATGAGAATGTCACACTGACCACACGGCTGATCAATCATTGTTTGGACATTTGCACAGCGTTCAGCAATACTACCACCTTTGTAAATAAAGCTTGCAGGGAGTTTTGAAATCTTGCAGCACAAACTAAAAGACGGCCATTCCGGTTCTGATTTACACTGAGAAAGCAGCCAAGCTGAAACGTATTTCTTTAAATAGAAAACGGGACAGTGTTATTTTGGATGAGGGTGGCAGGAACTCCACAAGAATGTTGCACCCTAATTGCATCACTCCTGCATTGTACTGTTGACTTTTGCTGGCAGAATGTTGATTTCCTGAAGACACGTAGGAGCGGAGACTTGGCAGGTAGAGAAGTGCTCTTTATCGCGCACAGGTCTCTCGCCCGGCAAGTCCACCTACGCTTACAATAGGATGGACTTAAACAGTCAACCATGTAAAACCAAACCTTCCTGTTGTCCCTTTGTCTAAACGACCCAAACCCCCCTACTTGGTGGGCAACTGCCTCTACGTTTGTAATTAAAATAGAGGTGTTGTGGCTCATCCAGGCATCTACAGTCTCCCCCATCTAGTTTCAAGAAGAGTTAATAAAAGCAGAACAGAAAAAAATACAATTTAAGGCAGACAATGAGCTGAAACAACCCAGCTTAGCCATTAATATGAACTATACTGATGACTAGTGGCGTTTAGGTTGGATTTACATACAGCTGCATTGATAGATAGGTAGATAGGTAGATAGATAGATAGATAAGATAACATACAGTCCAGGGAGAGGCAAAGAACCTAACAGGCTTATATAAAGCCTCCACCTAAATAACTATAAAATTACACAATATAATGAAAAATGCGAAATAATATACAACATAATAATGAAATAAAACAAACCTCAAATAACTTCAGCATCGGCATAACGCAATAAACAAAAACATTTGAATATGAATGTGCGTTGTGTATGTGCACAAGAGCATCCATGCATATATGAAATATAAATATATATGTCTATGAAATGATAGATTTATACAACCATATTAATTCCTGAGCAGTAGTAAAAATAAACATCACAATAAATGAAACAAATAAAACAACAGGAGGTAGATAGATAGATAGATAGATAGATAGATAGATAGATAGATAGATAGATAGATAGACTCATAGATAGATAGACAGATAGATAGATAGATAGACAGATAGACAGACAGATAGATAGATAGACTCATAGATAGATAGATAGATAGATAGATAGACTCATAAATAGATAGACAGATAGATAGATAGATAGACAGATAGACAGACAGATAGATAGATAGACTCATAGATAGATAGATAGATAGACAGATAGACAGACAGATAGATAGATAGACTCATAGATAGATAGATAGATAGATAGATAGATAGATTCATAGATAGATAGATAGACTCATAGATAGATAGATAGATAGATAGATAGATAGACAGATAGACAGACAGACAGACAGATAGATAGACTCATAGATAGATAGATAGATAGATAGATAGATAGATAGATATCATGGTTTGCACATTTAGGTTGCACTGCTTTGATACCTCACATGACTGCAATATTAAAGGGGAATTCCACCAATATTTCAAAATTAGTCCCTGAGATATAGAGTCATTCAGAGTGGTTTAATATGGAAGGGTTGATTGTAGAGAAACTTACATACTTAGATTTCTTTACAGCGGTGGTGATAGGAACCAGGGTTAAGATGGCAACAACCTAAAATAGTCATTTATTTACTATCCAAAACCACAGTTATACCCACAAGTGTCTTCTGATTTTTTATATGCAATGTCAATGATGGTAAAATAGTCACAAATCTGAAAAACTAAGTTTTCTTTGGGGACTATTTTGCCTTATAACGCCCTGCATGTAGCCCTCTGCCATGAATGGACTGAGATAAATGGATTAGCACACATTTTAAGACAACATTTCATCTCAAAACTATCATAAAACAATGTGTCAGACATCAGGAAGCATAAATGTGACCATGTCATGTAGTAACTTTCTGTGAGGGAGCTTTTAGAGGTGGACATCTGGTTCCTATCACCACCACTGTGAACAACTCTGACTCAGTAAGTTTCTCTAGAACGGAGAGTTTTACACCAAACCACACTGAATGACTCTGTTTACACCTTAACCATTTAATTATGTAGAATATTTAAAAAATCAGTGGAGTTCCCCTTTAAAGAACACAAGCAGGCAGAAACCCAGCCTCTGCCTACTTCTTAGCTACATCTGTTGGCCCTCTAACTGCGCCATCACGAGTCTCCATCTGCAGGAAAGGGTTTAGGAAATAACTACGCCAATTGGACAAGGTTGCTCCCCAAATATGTTCACGAAGCCGTAGTAATCTTCTTATTTGAATTTTCCCGTTCCACCTTAAACTGTGCAGCAATTCCATTCCACCAAACGTACTTTTTAAGGTGGAACGAAGAATTTGGAAAAGAAGCTGGCGAGTTTAGAGGCTACTTTCAGCCTCGTAACGTTAACATTAACAAATTGTCATTTTTCCGTTCCACCTTAAATGGTGCAGCAGTGCACTGTTGTATATAAACGGCCCATACAGAACTCATAGTTCTAAGTAGAACCATTGTCTTTACTAAAGAACCTCTGGAAAAAACATCTTTCTAAATAGTGTAACTGTTAACAGCAGTTACAGCAGCAGTTACTGTTGCACCATTTAAGGTGGAACGGGATAATTCGAACAAGAAGCTGGCTAATAGGAAGCCAACTTCAGCCTCGTCTAACGTCACAGGACTGATTTTGCAAGATTTTTTTTCCACAAAGTACTGCAATAACCGCTTTAACCCGTTGTTCTTATCAAAATAAGAGCTTAAGAGCCGAGATAAATGCGTGGTTACCTATCAAAGCTAGCCGAATCCACAGCACGAAAGGTTTGTTAAATGTCCTCTGTGAAAGAGCAGCTCTCCACCTCAACACAGCAACGCTGTACCATCATCAATAACAACAACACGTCTTGCCCGGGGGAGGCGCAGCTTGGGAGATGTAGTTCGAGAACGCTCCCCGTTAATGCACCGCAAGGCACACACAGGGACTGCATGCACTACAACTCCCAGAATTCAATAGTGGCGAGCTTCAAACTGGTGCCACATGACTCTTGTGAATAGATGTGGGACTGCGGTTTGTTGTTGGATTGTTTAATAGTTTAGATTCCTCTTTCATAACTTAATTTGGAAAGTTCAATAAAACTTTTAATTAAAAACCAACAGATGAAAATACTGGCAGTTTATTTGAATATACTCGAATATACACATGTCTCAAGATTTGGAAGGTTATTACAGCACGGTACCTACACTCTTAAAATTATGGTTCTTTGGTGGGGGGGTTCTCTGGTAAATGCAGTGTCTCTATTTAGAGCCATGACTTCTGCATAGAACCGTTTATATGGTTAAATGGTTCTTCAGGTTGATGGAGAATGTGTTCTGTGTGGTTCTATATAGAACCTTTTTGAAAATGGTTCTATATAGCACCAAAAGGTGTTCTTCTATTGTTACAAGCCTGACATCATAACAATAGAAGAACACCTTTTGTGCTACGTAGAACCAATTTAAAAAAAAGATTCTATATAGAACAAGATACAACATATTCTCCATCAACCTGAAGAACCATTTCACTATGCAAAGAATGATTTAAGCATGTAAATGGTTCTGTCTAGAACTCATGATTCTAAATAGAATCATTACTTTTACTAAAGAACCCTTAACGAACCACATTTTTTATGAGCTTCTGTCAAGAAGTCCCTACAGTGGAGCCATTGTTCTGCCCTTCGGGACCAGGCGAAGACACTTGTCTCTTTATTGATAATAAAGCTCATTTTTAGAGTGAAGCAGAATAACAGAAAACGACTCTCTGCCTTTTCTGTCATTTGCGCAAGATATTTGCAGAAGGCCATGTCTGCAGATCTAATCACATGTTGGAACATAGACAGACATTCTTTGAGGTACTCAGGTGCTTTAAGGCCATTTATAGATTTGAAAACAAGTAAAAGAATGTTAAAGTCCATCCTAAAAGCTGAAGGTAACCAGTCATATGTCCATTCACAGAGAACAGAAAACAATACTGCAACTGTAAACTATCTCATCTGTGGATTACTGTAACGGTGACTCTAACTCCAATATTTTGCATACATATGAGTGTCACATCCTTTCTGTATTTACCATAGCAGCGTCATAGTTGTATGTATATATGCACACACAAGCACTAGTAAAATACAATATAATGCCATACTACATATATGTATGTAATCTTAAAGGGGAATTTTTCCAAAATTCTACATAAAAAGTTAAAAGGTTGAGATGTAAACAGAGTCATTCAAAGTGATTTGGTGTGAAATGCTCCATTCTAGACAAACCTATCGAGTCAGAATTATTCACAGTGGTGGTGATAGGAACCAGACGTCCAAGACATCCACCTCTAAAGGCTCCCTCACAGAAGGTTTTACATGAAATACGTATGAATACACTGCCTGATTAGACATTGTTTTAGGATAGTTTTGGGATAATGTATTTTAATCCATTTATTTTAACCCATCCATAGTGAAGAGGTACATTCAGGGCATCGTAAGGCAAAGTAATCCCCAAAGAAAACTTATTATTCAGATTTATGACTATTTTACCAGCATCAACATTCCTTAATAAACTCAGAAGACATGTTTAGATTCAATATAATAAAATGTCTATATTTGTGTTGTAGTCATGGCGACCCCTGGTTCCCATTACAACCACTGTAAAGACATCTGAGTCTCTACAATGAACCATTTCATACCAAACAATTCTGGATGACTCAGTTTAGTCTCTCAAGGGCTAAATTGTTTGGAATTTTTGAAAAACTGGTGGAATTCCCCTTTAAAAGCGAGCCAAACTGTGCTATTGATCCACGTCTCTAGCTGTGATGTAATCGTAGGGGGCGCTGTCATGCGCAGTAGGGTCGTTCCGCTTCTCGGTCGTTGCCAAGGAGACGGAGCTACAACAGGAGCCGTCGCGCCGCTGGTAAGCAGAGACTTTATAACTCAACATCTCGAGATATCTAGGTTTATTACTGATCGGTTATGTGAGGATTTCCCCCTGTTGTGGAAGGTTTTGGCGCTTGGGTTCCTTACTTATGGCAAAGCCAGAGAACAGGGGTGTGGCTTAATACATTGTCCCAAATGGACATCATTAGAGATGTGAGCATCTGAGGAACTACATGTCCTCAAATTAAACAGGCTTCATGTTGAACAATACAAGATTTATTCATCAAAATCCGAAGAAATTCAGAGGGATGTAGATTTTATAACCGATTTCACAGCTTCACAAATGTAATATCTTCCGATACTGGTCATCCAGACCCCTTTGTCCTGCACAGACAGCCTTCCTCTTTGAATTTTTTGTGCCGTGTCCAAATCTGCTGTCCAGTTGGTGCATTTTTGTTGAATTTTCTCGAAAATGCACGCTGCTCACTCTTGTTTGACTGAGTTCGAGCATATTCTAACACACAAAATGCCTTTTCATTTCTAGTGAACGCCGTTCTTCATCCTGAAAAAAAACATTAAAAATTAAACTTGGTTAGTTTTTACACGTTTTGTTAAAATTTAAGATCATTTGAGGGAGAATTGGCTGTTATTAGACTAAGAAATGATGTCAATTTTTCTGGGACACTCTGTACAGTTAGCACTGTTAATATCTCAATTTCGCACTCATAAACCAAAATGTTCAAACTCTAAGCCTTCGTAGGGCCTACATAGTCTTTATTAAGGAATTTGAGCTGTAACTGTTACCTGAAGCTTATTAGCTTATCTCACACAGAAAAGCTGTGAAAACTGTGACTAACCTGCTTAAAAAAAACCTAGAAACCATTAAAAGTTTCTGGAGGTGTCCAGTAGTCTCTAATGGTATTCAGTGTTTTCCTTAATGGGTTGATATCAGAGTGTAAAGGACTCCCAGGTGTTCTGGAACGGATTCCAGATGATGGTTTTCTAATAGGATTTAGAGGTGTGCTACAGGCGACTAGTGGTCTTTCATGGTAACCATTAAGCCCATTAGAGAACAGAGCCAAAATCCTAAAGGTTTTAATGGTCTTTTTTCAGCAGGGTATTTGCAGCACACTGTATTTTCTAAATTATATGCCTGTTTTATTTCTTTATCTTAGACCATTTTCAACACTCTTGGTATTGTTTCATTAGAAGTGTGAATATTTTATTAATTATGTATTTATGCATACTGATATTCTTGATTAATACCACCCTTTTTCTACTTCTATCCCTCTACACACTTAAAACGATGGTTCTTCAATGGTTTTTTGGTGAAGAATATGGTTCTATACAGAATCATTGACAATCAAAGAACCGTTTGCATGATTAACGGGTTATTTGACTTGTGTAATGGTTCTTCAGATTGGCAGAGAATGTGCTGTAGATGGTTCTATATAGAACCTTTTCGATGTATGTAGCACCAAAGGGGGTTCTTCTATTGTTACAGTACTGACATCATAACAATAGAAGAACCCTTTTTGGTGCTATTTGGTACCCCTTTCAAAAAGGTTCTATATAGAACCATCTACAGCACGTTCTCCGTCAATCTGAAGAACTGTTTAATGATGCAAAGTACTCTTTAATCATGCAAATGGTTCTTTGATTGTTTATGATTCTTTATAGAACCATTTTCTTTACTAAGGAACCCTTGAAGAACCATCTTTTTCATGAGTGTACCAAGTTTACATTCCCTGTTTTGTCTCTTTTTGTTTTAACAAACGAATAAATGCTAATAAAAAAAGACAATATAAATATCAATAATGGATATTTTTGTGCATCAAGTGCTTGTGCTTCATGATCTTCAGAGTGGTTCAGTGAGAAATGGTGCCTCACTGATCCCTTTAGCTGCTGCTGCACTCAGCACTTTAACTTAAGACACATACTTTGCACATTGTAAGGTTTACAGGTATGACTGTGTGTGTGTGTGTGTGTGTGTGTGTGTGTGTGTGAATGAGTGATGGTAGGAATGTTTGTTTTATTTTATTTTATTTTATTTTTATTTTATTTACTACTTGTAAATGTCTGTCTGATACTGTGCACTGTGAGCTATTGTAACCAAAACCAAATTCCTTGTATGTGTGAGCAAACCAGGCCAATAAAGCTCGATTCTGATTCTGATTCTTCACAGTGGTGGTGATAGGAACCAGGGGTCGCCATGACTACAACACAAATACAGACATTTTATTTACTATCCAGAACCACCAGTGAACAAACGTGAGTCCTCTGAGTTAAACGGAATGATGGTAAAATCTTAAAAATTTCTTTGGGCTCTCCTTTGTCTTATAACAGCCTGCATATAACGTCTCACACCATGAATAGATTTTTTAGAATTAAAATATATTTTACGCCAAAATCTCGGTTCAAAATATCATAAAATGTCTCAGTCATCAGGCAGTGTATTGATAACCATTTCATGTAACAACTGTCTGTGAGGGAGCGTTTAGAGGTGGATGTCTGGTTCCCATCACCACCATTAGATCGTTATGCTGAAATTTAGAAACATTCTCTTTGAAGTCGCTACTAATGTACATTCCAGATGACTTGTGACCTTCAAAGAGATGTTTTCTATTTGCTCCTCTGCGAGTTTGATTAACACTTTGTGGTTTTTTCACATCCTCTTCAGAGTGAGATGTCCCAAACTGAGGAACAACAGCAGGAGCTACAGGGGTCAGCTCATGCTCCATGTGCCAACCCAGGCAACCCGGTGTTCTCCTGCATGATGAGGCCCAAGGCCACCTCGTTCTCTCCCTGGGTAAAACCACAAAGCCTCATTTACCGAACTACAGCAAGTGAGTATGGACTGCGGGCGCCAAGCTTTGAGTCCTCGCCGTGTTCCTACCACCCTCTGTCCCAGGCCTTTTCTCAGCATCTCGGCCAGTGTGGAATGTCCCGGGACAGCTCCTTCAACACCAGCCTGGACCACAGCAGGGTGTATGACTGCCCCAATCTGCAGAACACCATCTGAGTGAAGGACGGCAGTCGAGAGTCCTTATCTCAGCAGCCTGTTGTCTGGATTGAGCAAATGCTTCTGCAGAGGACTGGTGGATGGTTTACAGCTGCCTTTGTAAAGTTGAATTTTTAAATATTGCCTGTTTTTTGAAAATTATCTACTCAAATATTCGTGTGTAGCTGTTCCACCTGGCTATAGTAAAATTTATTTCAATAAAATGATTTAAAACGGAATGTTATTGCTTTTCCTTAATGTTATTAAAGAGGAGTTCCACTGATTTTCCATCATTCTTGAGTAATTTAATCATTCAGATGTAAACAGAGTGATTCAGAGTGGTTTGGTGTAAACTGGTTCAGATTTCTTCACAGTGGTGGTGATGATAGGAACCAGGGGTCGTCATGGCTACAACACAAATATAGACATTTTATTTACTATCAAAACCACCAGTGAACCTACATGGGCCATGCCAAGATAAAAAACCACTGTGCCTTTAACGTTTTTAAAAACAAAATGCAATGATGTGCAGATCATTTAAACCCAATATTTAATTGAGAATAGTACAACGACAACATATCAAATGTTGAAACTGAGACGTTTTATTGTTTTTTGAAAAATATTTGAATTTGATGCCAACGACACAATCCAAAAAAGTTGGGATGGGGGCAACAAAAGGCTGGTAAAGTTGTGTAATGCTAAAAAAAACACCTGGTGGTTGATTGGCAACAGGTCAGTAACATAACTAGGTTTAAAAGAGCATCTCAGAGAGGCGGAGTCTGTCAGAAGTAAAGATGAGGAGGAGTTCACCACTGTGAAAGACTGTATAAGCAAATAGAGCAACAATTCAAGAATAACGTTTCTCATCATAAAATAGCAAATTGCTTTTCATCATCTACGGTACATAATATCATTAAAAGACTCAGAGAATCTGGAGAAATCTCTGTATGTAAGGGACAAGGCCAAAAAACAGTATTTTCTGGCTGTGATCTTTGGGCCCTCAGGCAGCACTGCATTAAAAATAGATATGATTCTGTAGTGGAAATCACTGCATGAGCTCAGAAACACTTCTGAAAAGCACTGTCTGTGAAAACAGTTCATCACCGCATCCACAAATGGATGGGGGGCATTAGTGCACATGGTATAGGGGGGCATTAGTGCACACGGCATGGGTGATGTGCACATCTATGAAGGCACCATTAATGCTGAACAATAGATACATGTTTTGGCAACGTATGCTGCCATCTAGATGACGTCTTTTTCAGTGAAGGCTTTGCTTATTTCAGCAAGACAATGTCAAACCACATTCTGCACGTATTACAGCAGCATGGCTGTGTATTAAAAGAGTTCAGGCGCTAAACTGGCCTGCCTGCAGTCCAGACCTGTCACCCACTGAGAACATTTGGCGCGTTATCAAATAAAAAATACTCAAGTCAAGTCAAGAGGCTTTTATTGTCATTCCATCTATGTACAAGTACACAGTGGAGAGAAATTGCGTTCCTCCAGGAACAACACGGTGCAACAAGGAACAAAAGTACAAAGTGCGAACGTGCAGACAGTGTGCAAACAAAAAATTAAGCTAGAAACTATACAATAAATACAATAAATTAAACAAACATTAGACACAGTAAACAGACAGGACAGTGCAGCGCCGACACAACACTCATTTGAAGCGTGAAGTTGTGGAATAAGGTGCAGAGATATTTAACATGCTGTGATCTGTGAGTTACGCAGTCAGACAACATACGTGAGCACAGCAGTTACTGAGGTAGGAAAACAGTGTAAACACAGTATTAGCAGCAATGTTCCAGACAGTGCAAGTAGTGCAGCAAAAGAGGAGTGTGTGTGTGGTGGTGGTGGGGGGGGGGGTTAGTTCAGTCCTTGTGAGTTTAAAAATCTGATTGCTTGAGGAACAAAGCTGTTGCAGAGTCTGGCAGTGATGGCACGGATGCTCCGGTACCTTCTGCCAGACGGGAGGGATGGATGGGGTCGTCCACAATGCTGGTGGCTTTGTGGATGCAGCGTGTGGTGTAGATGTCCATGATGGAGGGGAGAGAGACCCCGATGATCCTCTCAGCTGTCCTCACTATGCGCTGTAGGGTCTTGCGGTCGGAGGCGGTGCAATTCCCAAACCAGGCGATGATGCAGCTGCTCAGGATGCTCTCCACAGTCCCCCTGTAGAACATGGTGAGGATGGGAATGGGGGAGATGAGACTTCTTCTGTCTCCACAGGAAGTAGAGGCATTGCTGGGCTTTCTTGGCTATAGAGTTGGTGTTGAGGGTCCAGGTGAGGTTCTCTGTGATGTGGACGCCGAGGAACTTGGTGCTCTGGATGATTTCCACAGCAGAGCCAGTGATGGTCAGTGGGGGGTGGTCACCTTGCACTCTCCGGAAGTCAACAACCATCTCCTTAGTTTTGTCTACATTCAGAGACAAGTTGTTGGTTCCACACCAGTCAGTTAGCCGCCATACCTCCTCTCTGTATGCTGACTCATCATTCTTGCTGATCAGACCCACCACAGTCGTGTCATCAGCAAACTTGATGATGTGGTTTGAGCTGTACTTTGCAGTACAGTCGTGAGTCAGCAGGGTAAACAGCAGCAGACTGAGCACACGGCCCTGATGGGCACCGGTACTGCAAATGAGACCCTGAACTGTTAGCAGTTGAAATCAAACAAGAACAGGAAAACATTTCACTTTCAAAACTGCAGCAACTGTCCTCCTCAGTTCACAAACGCTTACAGAGTGCTGTTTCAAGCAGATGTGATGAAACACAGTGGTAAACAGGGCCCCGTCCCAACTTTTTTGGAACGTGTTATTGGCATCAAATTCAAAAGGGAATATATTTTTCAAAAAAACAATGAAATTTCCAAGTTTCAGCATTTTAAATGTTGTCTTTGTAATATTTTCCTTTAAAAATATGGTTTACTCTATTTGCATATCATTGCATTCTATTTTTATTTACATTCTGCACAGCATCCCAACTTTTGGAAATGGGGTTGTACATGTATTGTTCATAGTGGTAAAATAATGATAAAATTTTCTTTGGGCCTTACAATGACCTGTATGTATTATAAAAATGAGTTTTAGTCCAAAATCTTCTCAAAACTGTAATAAAACAATGTCTCAGACATCAGACACCATATTTATAAAATGTTACATTTCATGTAATAACTTTATGTGAGGGAGCTTTTAGAGGCATTAAACTCTAGAGATGTCTGGTTCCTATCACCACCACTGTGAAGTTTGTTATGAATTGCATCAAACCACTCAGTACCTTCCTTTACCTTCATCACTTAGTTATATAGAAAAATCAGTAAAATTCACGCTTAAAACGTCTTTTATTTTTAAAAGAAGTGTACAACATCAAATGTGGTCATATGCAATAACAGAAGTACATTTTTGTGAAGTGAAGTGTTGTGAAGGTCTCAGAACCCAAGAAAGACAAAGGACAAATTTATTGTAATTCTTGAATGTGATTTAATCTGAACACCTTAATATTTTTAACACAGTGCATAAGGCAGTTTGTAACAGCACTTAGAAGATGCCCCAGAACTGCAGTCCAGAAATACTTTTTAGGTGTTTCTCCCTCTCCATCAGCTCCTGATAAGCTGGATAATTAACAGATAAATGAATGAAAATGGTAAAACTCTGTATTGCTGCGAGTAACACTGCCATATGCGGTATAGTACGTGAGCCGTTTTGGATTCAACTGACATGTAACTCAGCTCAGTCACTTCATTATGACTGAGTTATTAAGTATAATGTATCAGCTGTCTTAAAAGACGTTGCATTCAACTTTAAGGCACAATATCCGGATTATAAGGAAGGCCCGTCCCTTAAGAGCTGGGTATCGTGCCTTGAACGATCTCTCTGATCTTACTGGCATCCGCCTGCAGAGCCTGGTTGTTTGGATCGATCTTGAGAGCAGCCTGGTAGTCCTGAAGTCCTGCGGGTCAAAGAATCAAAGCTCAATGTCTGTTATAGAAAGTTTCTAATGTAGTTCTACAATGAACTACAATGTAGTGGTACCTTCTATAAAGAGCTCCAGCTCACAGAAAGCAGTTCCTCTCCTTACATGGGCCCTCAGTCGGGCCGCTGCATTGTCAGCGACGGCTGGGGTCAGCAGTTCCAGGGCCTAGCACAGACACAGTGACCGACATACAGCCAGTGTTGAGGTTAACACACAGGAAAGAACAGAAAAAGGTGATTTAACAGTTGCAGATATAATAATTCTTAATATTTTTTTGTATTTATTAATATTTATTTTGTATTTATTTATTTTATATTTGTATTTTTTATTTAATTTACACTTCTTTGTTTTATTAGAGAACTTAAGCAATGTCGTTTTCTTATTTAAGGTTGAAAACAGACAGGAGGATGCTCTGTGTTCTTTTATGTAATTATTGTGTAATACGGCTCATTTGAACTTGAAATGAGATGTTCAGTGTCCCTGGCTGGGAAAACTGACCTCTTAACGGAACGTTTAGAATGTTGCCGTAAAGCTCCATTGCAAACAATGGGAACTCGTAAAAGTGTAAAATGTTTTTAATGTACCTTTAAAATCGAAAAACATCACAAAGTGTACAGTATAATACACTGAGGAGAAATCGCTGACCTGAGAACTGTCCTCGATGGCTTTGTGAAGATTTCTCAGCTTCAGATGGCAAGCCGCTCGATTGGAGAACAGGGCAGGAATGCGTCTGTTGAGTTTAATGGCCAAATCGTAGGCATTGACCGCAGCCTGGTAGTTCCCAGTCCTGAAGAAATTACTGTAGGAAGAAAACAGCAAAGAAAAAGTTCAATATAGTCTTGATTCTAGCAACCAGATCTACAACGACCACACACCTTTCTCCTGGATCGGTCTGAAAAGAGCACAGTCTTGTATCTTTAGCAGTAATTATCTTATTTGTGTAATATGCCACAGCCAAACCCAAATTCCCTAATGAGGGGTCTCTTCTCACACATAATCAGCTTTTGGTGGTTACGTGCAACAACCTTCAGTTCAGATGTAAACAGGAGCTCAGCAGTTAATCCCTTCAACTGCATATGGGCCCAAACTTCAACAGCTCGCTCTCTACACAACATACACATTTTACAATACTCAATAATTCACTGTAGTTACTGAATAATAAGTCTTAATCATCCTCAATTTTTAAAATATACTGTTATAGTGTCTTTTCAAAAAGGTTCTATATAGAACCATATTCAACAAATTCTCCATCAATCTGAAGAACCATTTGACCAGGCAAAGAACCATTTAAGCATGCAAATGGTTCTATGAGTGTTCATGGTTCTATATAGAACCACTATCTTTACTAAAGAACCCATGAAGAACCATCTTTTTTGGAACCATCAGCTTCCACTGTAGCTGCTACTGTAATAAATAGCTGCAGGTGTCTAGTAGACTAGAGTTAGCTGTGCGTGAGCTGTTTGAAACGTACTCTCCTTTATCCTTCAGCCAGTCAGGGTTCTTCTCTTCCTCCTTCAGATCATCCAGCTGAGCGAGATCAGCGCTCGCCATCCGTCTGGCCTCCGCCTGCTTCCTCAGCCACTGTTCAACAACATACACGTGAGCCACGCCTACAGTCACCTCCAATTACCTTTAATTAAACACTCAAATTAAATACTTTCCATGTCCACTGAATTTACTACACACTTAAAAAAATGTTCCTCAAGGGTTCTTTAGTTAAGAAAACCTTTTTGAAGAGGGTTCTATATAGCACCAAAAGGGGTTCCTCTATCGTTACAAGCTTGACATCATAACAGTAGAAGAACGCTTTTTGTTTTTATGGAACCCTTTTCAAAAAAGTTCCATATAGAACCATCTACAGCGTGTGTACAATTAAACCCCTCCCCTTTATCTACAATTAAAGGGCCTGTATCATGGAAAACAGACATTTCCTCACTTTTTGAAACAAGCTTGCTGCATCATGTAAACATTGTTAGAGTTTCAAAATATACCATTCCTCCCTCAGTCCATATGGAAACGAAGCTGCCTGTTTTGAAATCACAGTTTTTGTGAGGTCACAAAAACCAACATATTTACATATATCCACCCATTCAGCCTACAGCAGTTTAGCTCCGCCCATTTACACTGAAGTTATAAGTAGTGTTTCAGCCTGCTTTTGGAATGAGGCACAATCAGAACAGAGCTCATTAATATATATCAGTTTTAAAGGGCCTGTATCGTGAAAAAATGAACTTTCCTAGCTTTTCTATATAAAATAGTCTGATATAATATGTAAACACAGTTAAATTTACACAGCGTGTCTTTCACTCCACAGTACACATACAGAAACTAAGCTGCAAAATCAGCTGTTTTGAAATCAGTAGGCCTCATTCACCAATATCGTCCTAAGCTTTTTCTTAAACGAGGTCTTGAGAAAGTTCTTAAGAAAAAGTCTACATCAGATTCGTGAGGTTAAACCACAGAACTGTTCCCACCTCTGTGCTCCTGAGTGTGTAGATTCTGTTCTTACCTAAGAACAAAGCCCAAATAAGAAAACACTGGTGAACGACAGAATCTTTGTGTGTTTTAAGAAGAAATTTCTTCTTATGAACGGTTGGTGAATGAGGCCCATTGTTTTTGTGATGTCATTAAAACCAACACATTTACATATATCCGTGTGTCAGCCTGCAGCAGTTTAGCCCCGCCCATTCACGCTGAAGTTATAAGGAGTGTTTCAGCCCTAGACTGCTTTTTAAATGAGGTCAGCCAATCAGAACAGAGCTCATTTCCATATGTTTATGATTGATTGATTGAATTATGATTGATTTTGGCACATACAACCACATAAATGTCATAAGTGTAAAAAAAAAAAATACAAGAAAAATGCAGGACATGGGCCCTTTAAATGAACACCTATTATACACTTGAATTTAAAAGAGGATGTGAACGGTTAAGCCAAGGATTGGTTGAAAAAAAAATCACCTCTTCTTCCTCGGGTACGCGGGACTCTCGTAAGGCGGTGGGGAAAACACGTGGAGTGAAACTGATCTTAATGCAGCCCGCTGACCTGGGGGCAGGTACATCCTTCTGTTTGTCCTTTTTCCCGCTGTTTATCCGACCTAAGAGTGATTCTGTTAGCTTAACAGGCCTTCATCAACTTTAGTCACGATCAACAAGTCACATTACGCCAGATCACATCCCGAAAAAATAAGCAGATCACAGCAGTATTAGTGGGAGCATTATGCAATAATGCAAGCATTTTAATGCTAAAAGCGAAAGCTCAGCCAAAAGTCAATTGAGTGACCATTATTAGCCCCACAACGGGAGTGGTGGGCAGCCCTATCCGCAGCGCAGTTGGGGGTTAGGCGCCTTGCTCAAGGGCACTTCAGTCACAGTACTGTCGACTCAGGGGATCAAGCCGGTGACCTTACGGTCACAGGGCTGGTTCCCTAACCTCCAGCCCACGACTGCTCCAAATGTGCATTTTCCCCTTTTACACCAAATTTAGTCAAGCAGCCAAGACAGGTTTGATGACTAAAGTTTGCTTTTTTAGTTTTGCACTGAAGCCAAGAAGCTAATGTAGCTAACAAGTAAAGGAAGCTTATACCCCTTATACCAATTAGCATCATACAAACTGCACACCTAAATCATCACAGACTCGCCTCAAACCATGCGGAGTTGTGCATCTCTAATAGACTAGATTATTGCTTGCAGCTAAAAGCAGTAATAGTTGTTATCATGAGGACTGGACTTTGTCTGGACTTTTGTCCATGTCTATTAGGGACTTCTAAACACAGCCTGAGGCAAGTGTGTGATGAGTTAGTGTGCAGTTTGTATGATGCTTATTAGTGGCTACAACCTTCCAGATTCAGTATTAAACCAAAGCAAACATGTCTTAGCTGACTGACTATATTTGGGGTAAAAATGTAAAAACATCTGTAGAACCCAATATTGTAAAGAATCCTCAGTAATGTAATAATGCCCAGATATGTAATAATATTTTGCACTTAACTTGGTCAAAAATGTAATAAAACCCAATAATGTAATAACTTTCCCAAGAATGTAACACATATTCTAAACTTATAATGTATTTTTTTGGAATGATAATGTAATATTTTATTATATTATAGGGAATTCATTACATTATTGGGAATTCAGCATATTTAGAATATCATATATATAATTTATCATATATACAAGTTGATCATTTTTCAAATTAATCATATAAACTTTTCCTTATTCTACATTTTGCTGAATGCACAAAAGCATAGCAGACGGCCATTGGGAAGTGCTCTCAACAGTATTACATCATCCATTTTGAAAAAAGAAAAGATGAACTTATAAATATGACAAATTCCCAATAATATAACATATTAATTATAATATCATTTTACCAGTTTACACATTGTATTACACTATTGGAGAAGTTATTACTGGATGTTTTCCCATTTCTGATCAAGTTATGTGCAAAATATTGTTTATGGGCAATATTACATTATTGGGAAATTATTACAGTATTGGGTTCTACAACATCTCTAAGGTTCAGTCTTTGAGCTGGATTTGCTTCTGGAATCTTCTTTTACTCATGATCCAAGTAACCTCAAACATATTCAGTGATGTTGAGGTCTGGACTCTGGAGTGGTCAGTCCATTGTTCTGAGAGCACCAGCAGCTTCTTTGTTTTATTTGCAAATTTTGTCTGTTTGCTTTAGGCGGTCTAGCGGGTCTTGCATGGTTGTTCGGAGTCACATTTTTTCAACATCTTTCAATTTTTTTTTTTGGAAAAGTTTAGTCTCTGACTTTTTGCACTGTGTGTAAATAATGAAATTAAATCGGTGTAAAGCTGGTGGTAAAATCAGACACATTCATTTTACTTTCTCACCTTCAGTTCTGCTGGGGTTTTGTGCAGCTTTCTCAAGCTTTCTCTCTTTAGGAACTTGTTTATCCACCTGCGTGGTGGTTCCTTGTAGCCTTCGTCGAGCCTCCTCTTCCTCTGCCGTTTTCCTCTGCTTTTCTTTCCAGGCCTCCAGTTCTGCTGTGGCTCTCGCACACTCTTCGTCCTTCATCGTCTGAATTCTCACCCGCTCCTCTTCCTCAAGCTGCACACAAGTAACCAGTAGTAGAAGAAATTGTCAAAGTACTTTTTAAAAAATGTTTCGCTAGAGACTAGAATTAAACAGGCCTTTCTGTTTCTGTGTCTTTAACTAATATATGTAAATAATCTTTTTTTTTTGATTGGCTGCCCTGTGCTATGCCTTAATATGGGCTCAGTGTGAGCTGAAACACTCCTTATAACACAGTGTGAATGGGCGGGGCTAAACTGCTGTTGGTGGAATAGGGGGATAAATGGAAATGTGCTGGTTTTCGTAATATCACAAAAACTATAAATTCAAAAAGCAGTCAAAAAGTGGTGAAAATAGAGTTCTACATGATATGAGCCTTTCGTGTTTAATTACTGACGCTCAATTCTGGAGTTTATTGGGTTAATAGTGACTTGAGAGTATCCAATGTTATAAGGATGATATAAGGAGTTGTTGTCGGTGTTGTACGTACAGAGATTAGAGGACACAGACCTTCATCATAGTCTCCAATGTGTATTTCTTTTCCTGCTGAATCTTTGCGGCTTTGGCCTTGGAGTTTTCTGCAGCCTTGTTTTGAGTTTTGAGGATGGCCTCGTCTCGAATCTCTCTTTGTTTGGCTTTGTCTGTAATAAGGCAAAATGGTTCAGTTAGACAGTGAAGAGCAATTGATTTAAATACCCCTGAACTTCAAATACTGCTAAACTACTATACTACTACTACTAAAACAACTACTATACTACTAAACGTCAAATGTTTGAGGTTTGTGGTGAAACTGCTGCTGTTTGTAAACTCAGTAATAGAAAAAAATGGTTTTAGGCTATATGTTTTATATAATCTTTATATAGTTCCCTACAAAAAGTTATTTAAAAGTGGTGGGGACAAACTCTGGAATTTCAAAAAGTGGTAGGTGTCCCAAGAATAACTTTGCATTTGTTTGCTATGGCTCATTTCATTTAACTGTTAAAGGGGAATCCCACCAATTTCTCGAAATCTCTGCATAGTACAATTACTAAGATGTAATCAGAGAGCATTCAGAGTGGTTTGGTGTGAAATGGTGCAGATTTCTTTACAGTGGTGGTGATAGGAACCAGGGGTCGCCATGACTACAACACAGATATAGACATTTTATTTACTATCCAGAACCACCAGTGAACCTACACGAGTCCTCTGAGTTTATATGGAATGTTGATGATGGAAAATAGTGGTAAATCTGAAAATAATAATAGGTTTTTCGTTGGGGACTATTTTGCTTCACAACGCCCTTTATGTATCCCTCCACCATGGACAGATATTTTTAAAAATCTTTCAGCCAAAATCTTATCACAAAACTATTGTGTCAAGCTTCAGGCAGTGTATTCATAATCATTTTATGTAATAACTTTGTATGAGGGAGCCTTTAGAGGTGGACGTTTGGCTCCTATTACCATCACTGTGAACAATTCTGACTTGGTGAGTTTGTCTAGAACAAAGCATTTCACACCAAACCACTCTGAATGACTCTGCTTCCATTTTAATGACTGAATTATGAAGACATTTTGAAAAAATAGTGCAAATTTCACTTTAAGAGTGAACCACTTTCAATACAGTACTAAAAAAATCAATGTTAAAACAATGTTTCATGAAGGCATTCACTGATGGTCACTTTCATTGAAACTACTGTTAATGGTAAAAATGGCCATCTCAGTGCATCCTATTAATTTTATATAATGTTTTATATGATCAGAGTGTTGCACAGAGATAGAATGCTACTTTGCAATCTTTTGCTCTGAATTAAATATTGTACTTATCCAACCCAAACCAATCAGGGCAGCGTAGAATTATAGCTTTGTAGAAAATATGCTGCTAAAAATCCCAAATAATAATGAAAATACCAAATATTTACCACAAATTTAGACACGTTTCTTCACCTCATAACAGTTTTAGCAATAATGATGCATGAAAATTACAGAAATGTGTTTTACTACACGGCTATGATGTAAGTGTGGGGTATAAAAATAGAAAACAACACATACCCACATCTCTGCTGAGGTGCGTCCACAGGCCTTCTTTCTTTTTCGGCAGAGTAAAAACTGCAACGCCGTTTCCCAGTTTGGCCACACTTTTATCATCATCTACAGGCTCAGAAAGGAAGGCTTCAAACAGAAACGGAGGGAAACTAACCTGAGGGGACAAAAAGGGCATTGCTCTCTTAAAGGGGAATTTCACTAATTTTTCAAAATATTTGAAAAATTCAGTCTTCGAGATGTAAACAGAGTCAGAGTGGTTTGGTATGAAATGATTCAGATGTCTTTACAGTGGTGGTGATAGGAACCAGGGGTCGCCATGACTACAACACAAATATAGACATTTTATTTACTATTCAAAACCACCAGTGAACCTAGATGTACACCAATCTGGCATAACATTATGACTACCTACTTGTTTCTACACTCATTGTCCATTTTATCAGCTCCACTTACTATATAGGTGCACTTTGTAGTTCTACAGTTACAGACTGTAGTCCATCTGTTTCTCTGATACTTTGTTAGCCCCCTTTTACCCTGTTCTTCAGTGGTCAGGACCCCCATGGACCCTCACAGAGCAGGTACTATTTGGGTGGTGGATCATTCTCAGCACTGCAGTGACACTGACCTGGTGGTGGTGTGTTAGTGTGTGTTGTGCTGGTGTGAGTGGATCAGACACAGCAGTGCTGCTGGAGTTTTTAAACACTGTGTCCACTCACTGTCCACTCTATTAGACACTCGTACCTTGTCAGTCCACCTTGTAGATGTAAAGTCAGAGACGATAGCTCATCTGCTGCTGCACGGTTTGTGTTGGTCATCCTCTAGTCCTTCATCAGTGGTCACAGGACGCTGTTGGCTGGATATTTTTGTTTGGTGGACTATTCTTAGTCCAGCAGTGACACTGAGGTGTTTACAAACTCCAGCAGCACTGCTGTGTCTGATCCACTCAGACCAGCGCAACACACACTAACACACCACCACCACGTCAGTGTTACTGCAGTGCTGAGAATGATCCACCACCCAAATAGTACCTGCTCTGTGAGGGTCCATGGGGGTCCTGACCACTGAAGAACAGGGTAAAAGGGGGCTAACAAAGTATCAGAGAAACAGATGGACTACAGTCTGTAACTGTAGAACTACAAAGTGCACCTATATAGTAAGTGGAGCTGATAAAATGGACAATGAGCGCAGAAACAAGGAGGTGGTCAGAATGTTATGCCTGATAAAATAGTGATAAACACCCTACGTGTACCCCTCTGCTATAATGGACTGAAATAAATGCATTACAATACATTTTAAGCCAGAACTGTATCATAAAACAATGTGTCAGATATCACATCTAAGCATTTCATGTAGTTAAAACTTTCAGTGAGGGAGCTTTTAGAGGTGGACGTCTGGTTCGTATCACCACCACTGTGACGATTCTGACTCGGCAAGTTTCTCTAGAACAGAGCGTTTCACACCAAACCGCTCTGAACAACTTTGTTTACATCTTAACCGTTTAATTACGTAGAATTTTTGGAAAATCGGTGGGGTTCCCCTTTAACCAGTTTTTCTCACAGCAGCGCTATGAAGCCAGAGCCGCCGACTGGCTGCGGAAGTTTAATGCGATCTTCTCACCTTCAGGAACTCATCCGTACAAAGCACGTCCACTTTGGCCGGCTTCACCCCCTTTAACGGGATACTGAGGTACACCGTGGTTTCTGTCTGGGTCCATGTGTGGTCTCTGACCAGCAGCGGCATCCTGAACGCACGAGACTGATCAGCTTAGCTTTTAGATCAGCTGCCTCTGTTTAGTGGGAAAGCGTGGTTGCTATGTCGCCGACTGGTTGCTAGGGGGAGGAGACTAACCAAACGCCCCTCTTGGCTCTGTAAGTGTGCGGTTAAAGGGCTCATATCCTACATCTGTCTTGTTTTTTCTGTAAGTGTAATTTTAACCCTCCTGTTTTCCTCAAATTTACTAACATCTTTAATCCTTGGGGTCAGTGTGAGCCTTTAAACCTCTGAACTATTAGTGGTTCTGGCAGTACTACAGGTGTGGTTATGGTAAATTAGGGCCCTACACACTTGGTTGGTTCTTTAAGGGTTCTTTAGGAAAGAAAATGGTTCTAAATAGATCCATGAACGATGAAAGAACCCTTCGCATGATTAAAGGGGTTTTTTTTTCAATTAAGTGACCCTTATTAGTCTGACAACGGGGAAATTTCACCTTCGCAATCTAACCCATCCGTGCAGACACACACTAGAGGGCAGTGAGCACACTTGCCCGGAGTGGTGGGCAGCCCTATCCGCAGCGCCCAGGGAGCAGTTGGGGGTCAGGTGCCTTGCTCAAACGCACCTCAGTCACAGACTGCTGGCTCAGAGGGTCAAACCGGCAACCTTTCAGTCACAAGGCTGGTTCCCTAACCTCCAGCCCACGACTGCCCCAGTCTGGGGTTCTTTGCATCATGAAAGGGTTCTTCAGATTGATGGAGTGGTTCTATATAGGACCATGAACAGTCAAAGAACCCTTTGCATGATTAAAGGGTTCTTTGCATCAAGAAAGGGTTCTTCAGATTGATGGAGAATGTGCTGTGTATGGAACCTTTTTAAAAAGGGTTCTTCCATGGTTACAAGCCTGCCATCGACAATAGATGAACCCTTTTGGGGGCTATATAGAGTGCGTTTAAAAAAAGGTTCTGTATAGATCCATCTACAGCACATTCTCCATAAATCTGAAGAACCCTTTCACAATGCAAAGAACCCTTTAATCATGCATAGGGTTCTCTGAGTGTTCATTTTCTTCACTAAAGAACCCTTAAAGAACCATCATTTTTAAGTGTGTTAATTTGTCAACTTTTTCTAACCTCTTTTTATCCCTTACAATTAAAGACTTTTAATCGCTGCACCTTTAAGAATGGTATATGTAAATGAGCTGTGTTTTGATTGACTGCCCTGCACTGTGCCTCGTTCAAAAAGCAGTCTGGGCTGAAACACTCCTTATAACATCAGTGTGAATGGGTGGAGCTAAACTGCTGTAGTCTGAATGGGTGGATATAAGTAAATGTGATGTTTTGAGTGACATCACAAAAACAGTAAATTCTGTTTTGTTCCTGCTTCCATAAGTGAACTGTAAGGACTGGGGGGCAAATGGGACGTTTTGAAACTACAAACATCATACTTTATTTCAGGTGAGGGAAATTCAATTTTCCGTGATATGGGCCCTTTAAACTGCGAAGTCCAGGAGCAGCATTGAGAAAACTAGATTACAAGGCCTTCACCTTTCAGAAAACTAGCCCAAACAAGCTCTCTGCTATGGGACTGAACACGGGGTCACTGGAAATACTAAACTTTGGTAATTTTACAGCTCACAGACAACACTGAGACACAAAAGGCTTTAACTTTACCATGTGAAGTCCATTTAATTCATTTGAATGGCACACGTAACAAAGGCAAAGTCAGTGTATTAAAACAACCCACACGTGAACTGAGAGGCATCATTAGAGAATCTGCCTCTGATATAATTACTGAGCCAGATTCTGAGTATATCGTCACTAGTCCATGTTAATCTTTCATTTAGGGTTATTTTTAGCTGTACATTCAGCGTCTGCGAACAAATCAGTTGCACCAGGTGCTCCATATGGTATTCATGTGACCACACACAGTGCCTTCTATTCCTGATCTGTCATGGTTTAAACAAGCGAAGCAAGGCTAAGGCACCAGGTGTCAAACAGTCTTCATACAGCCAAGCACTTCAAAAACAAGCAACTGCTTTTTTATATGAGAGGAAAAATAATCATTTGAGCAAATTATAACATGTTTATAATACAGGAGAAATTCGTTTTTGTTCGTTTTTCTCTCCAACGGTTCGGTCACAGTCATAGATTCAGTATAACCGCACTGAAGATGCGGCAGGAGAAACAGATAGAGAACAATGCGTGAACTGTAGGAACCGAGAAAGACGTTCTCTAAACACTTGTTTCGATACTGATTTTAACATGCCCTCGTAAACGTGGCCTTGGGGAAACCCCAGATGCCAGCTCAAGGACCGTTCCATTACTTTATTAGCTCAAGTCAAAGTTTATTAGATGAGCCCTCTGAGGGGTCAGGAACCGAGTGAACCGAGTCTACTTCAGCAGCAGAAGCTGCCCAGAAATTACAGTGGTCTGATGCAATTTTGTCTTCAAACTCCACAAAAATGCTGCACTAAGCTGTTCAAAAGTAATAGAAATAAAAATATTTGAAAATGCTTCATATCTCAAAAGTACTCTTAAAATGGTTCTTTAGGCTTCTTTAGTAAAGGCAATGGTTTTATTTAGAACCATGAGTTTTCATGCTGAAATGGTTCTTCAGATTGATGGGGAATGTGTTGTATAAGGTTCTATAGAGAACCTTTTTAAAAGGGTTCTTCTACCATTAGAACCATCCACCACCATCTGGAAAAAACATATCAGCATGCAAAGAAAAATGTCATGCTTAAATGGTTCTATGCATGCTGAAACAGTTCTTTAGATCAACAGAGAATGTCGTATATGGTTCTATACAGAACCCTTTTGAAAAGCGTTCTTCTATTGTTGCAACCATGAACCTGAAGAACCATTTCACCAGGCAAAGAACAATTTCATGCTTAAATGGTTCTGTGCATGCTGAAATGGTTCTTCAGATTGACGGAGAATGTGTTGTATATGGTTCTATATAGCACCAAAACGCGTTCTTCTATTGCTACAAACATCAATCTGAAGGACTGTTTCACCATGCAAAGAACTTTTTCCTGCTTAAACGGTTCTTTGCATGTTGAAGCAGTTCTTGAGATAAACAGAAAACATGTTGTATATGGTTTCTATATAGAACCTTTTTGAAAAAGTTCTATATAGCACCAAAAATGTTCTTCTTTTAGAACCATTAATCTGAAGAACCTTTTCTGCATGCAAAGAGCGATTTCATGCACAAATGGTTCTTTGCATGGTGATATAGTTCTTGAGTTTGACAGAGAATGCGTTGTATATGGTTCTATATAGAACCTTTTTGAAAAGGGTTCTATATAGCACCAAAAAGAGTTCTTCTATTGTTGCAACCATGAATCTGAAGAACCTTTTAACCATGCAAAGAACCATTTAAGCTTGAAATGGTTCTAAATAGAACCACTGCCTTTACTAAAGAACACTTGAAGAACCATCTTTTTTAAGTGTACACCATTCAGTTTGCTGTGACTATGATAAATGTAGCAATCTGCCCCATCTGTTATACAGGACTGCTGATACTTCATTACTCTGCTAGTTTGCATGCTAAAGGCTACACAGCTAGCAACACCAAAAAGAAGGGCCGTCACGATTGATCAACTAAAAATGGATTAGAATGTACATTCCTGATGATTTGGTTTTAGTTATTAGTCTGCAATTTTAATGATAAACAGGGTATCTGCAGATCATTCTAAAGTCATGTTTAGCATACTGGAGATTCTCCACAAGGGGGAGCTATTAGCACTCAAATAACTTTTATTTGCATTATTGAAAGAGAGAAAACCCACACCAGCAGGATCTCATGAATGCACGTATGTTTGAAGTGACAACCTGCATGCATATGAAGTAAATTTACATACTGCACATACATAAAAGGTTTGGGTTAACTCTGTGTAGGTTAATCAGCTCAGCAGACAGCTAACAGGCTAAAAGGCTCACCCAATAACATAGAGTCAGTTTTTACTGGACATCTGGAACATAAAAAGTAAACGCCAGCTGAATGTCAAATGTCTGTGTTCAAGCAGAGCTGGCCTAAATTAAACTTAAAGTTAAACTCTAAGCAGTAAGTGTTAGCTTGGTACTAACGAAACACTGACATCCCCATAAAAGTGCTAGCAGCATAGGGGTGGAACCCAGGTTACTTCCAAATCTAAGTAAATGATGTTGACATCAGCTAATTTTTCATTATTTAGCCTTAAAAAAGACAAAAACAAACGGACTATACTATTCATCTAAATTATCACTGGATTATTTGATCGCTTGTATATTTGATAGTGACAGCCTTACAAAACACTCCAGTTTTAAACCAAAGCTTATAGCCAAAAAATCATGTACATAATGTTAAGACTTCTCAGAAAAAAATGGTGCTACATTACAAAGTTACCAAGACTGACTGATTTTCTCACAATGCTCATCTAGTAGAGGAAGGGAGTGTTCCAATTGGTGTAACGCACTTCTGAATTGAGTTGAGGGCATGTTAAAAAAAGTTTTCCGCTGAATTTGCTGAGGGCGTGTTAAAAAAAGAATTGTAATAATATTTGTATTTAAATGGGGCATTTGTGTGTGCGATTCCTTGGTACATAAAAACAGGACTACGACAAGACTAGATCATCACCGCAACACATCTGCACTGTCAAATTACAGAGGAGATCGTGTTTGAACTTTACATTCAGGATGCCACACTGCTTCAACTGCTGCACGCTATAGTCAAAAGCAAAACAATATTAGAACAATATCAAATTCAAAACATCAGATGTATAAAACATCAACAGTAGACAACATGAATGAAAAACATCCATCCTCTCGATGTGGGAATATACATTTACAGTCTTTTGAAACAAAGATGTCTTTAAGATTACATGGACATGGCTCTTTTATTACAATCCAGGGGTAGGAAATGACAAATTGTCATATGAATGATTAAATTAACTGATCAAAAAGCATTTGATCTATAGCATTTGATATATTCTGTGCAATTTCTTAATAAAGTTGTTCTCGAACCACCTTCAAGTAATACAATCTCATCAAAAAATGGAAAAAAAGCAGAGAAAACCAGTTAAGGAAATGCAATTAAACATCAAAAGGTGACTGATATATTCAAAAGCATTTTAGTGCACACAATCAGTTTCTCTGTTATTATTATCATTATCGTCATTATTATTAGGGGCTCTCTGTGACCTTTGCTGGACCAGAGCACTTACGCTACAAGCACTCACATAATAAACGGCACACTGAATGAAATAAATGAGAAAAGAAGGAGAACGAGGCAAGTTACAGAGCACAAGCAAGCTACGATGCTCACTACGACTCAACTACAGACTGTGACACATCAATCCTCTACATTAAGAGAAATCAACGAATGTATTGGATCGCTCTGGTCACCAATCGGAAAATGCTACAGTAGCCAAAAATGATAATCGCTACATTCGGCGCCAGGAGCTTTGACCAACCGAGCTCACAAGCTTTAGTTCTTCATTCGCTGCTCTGCCATAATGACATATAGCTTTGGCAAATTACAAGCGGATGTTCAAAGGCAGCAACTAGAGCACTTTTTACAATCCAGCCTTCTTCACGGGCCTTTACTGAGCTGCTCTGAGTTTCTGACTCATCTTCCTTTGGCACACAGCACTCACGACTGGACAGAAAACACTGAACCCTCAACCTTGAGTTCAGGTTGAGCCAAACAGTGAACACGTATAGCAGCAAACCGTTTCTCCTCACCAGCATACATACAAGCTTACTGAACGATTTCAAAAAATAATCCAAACTGTTTAGCCGAATGTACCTGAACGCACCATTCGCAGAAATTATGGATCAACCTCTAAACCAGAGAATCCACCATACAAGGTACCTAAGAGGAGGCCGGGAAGACAGCATGGAACCACGGGCTCAGAGAAAACGGTCCAAGTATTCGAATGATGAATTTCTACACCAGAAGATGAGTTCGGGCAGGCACAAGGAAGACATCTGACCTCAGACGATACAAAGCTAAAGCCCTGGTCTCTGTATTTACACTTCAATCCAAACAGATGGAGATTTTATAGAGCAAAGGTACTGGATGAAGCAAGAAACTTATAAAAGCCTCTCCTCTTTGTTTCAAATGGAGATTGCAACATTTTACAGACCAACTACCGCAAGAGAAAAGAGGAGAGGCGAGTGGAGAAAATGAGCTCTCCCCAAAGAGCACTGAAACCGAGCGCAGAAGGAAATAACTTTGACGTTCACACCGGCACAGTGAAGTCTAGCTGCATCCCTGCAGATAAAGGCCCAGGAAGGGCAAAGCCTCGGCTTTGGCAGAAGAAACCTCAGCTTGGGCAAAAACTAGCTAGCTAGTTATCTAGCTGGATATCTGACTAAGTTAGCCAGGGAGCTAAGCTGTTGGTGAAGTACCTACTATTAATGTTAGCTGAAAGTTCACTAGCAGAGGTTTGTTAGCAATGTTTCAGAGACCGTATGCTGTAGTTACATGTTTATGGTTCAAATTACATCAGCAAGATAACTTAGAATCACTCTTTCAGTGTTTTACATAACTAGCTAACCCTCCGCTTCACCACAATTCATTTATTTAAAAAAATAAATCAGCTTGGAAGAAACTATTTTGGGCTGAAGTTAGCTAACCTTCATCTTAGCCCAAATCCATTTAGCCTCAATCTGGGCTGAAGTTAGCTAGGTAGCTAACTGGAAGAAGCCTCATCTTTTAAAACGTCTTTTAGTGCATGTTAGCCAGCTAACTACTTCACTCTCACCCTAAGCCTTTTATTTTTATGGCGCCATCAGTTTGGAATACGCTGACTCGGGCAGAAGTTAGCATTCGCAATTCTAATTACATCCGTTGGATACACTGCTCCTTCAGTAACCAGCTGACTCTCACTTTAATGCTAATCTGTTTATATAAAAGGAAACAGCTTGAAAGAAGCCTCAACATGGGCTGAAGTTAGCTAGCTAGACATTAGCTAGCTAGAAGAAGCCTCAAGTTGGCCTGAAGTTAGCTAACCTTCATCTTAGCCCAAATCCATTTATTTTTCCAGAAGAAATAAGTTGGGAAGAAGCCTCAGTCTGGGCTGAAGTTAGCTAGGTAGCTAACTGGAAGAAGCCTCATCTTTTAAAACTTCTTTTAGTGCATGTTAGCCAGCTAACTACTTCACTCTCACCCTAACTCTTAATTTTATCGAGCTATCAGTTTGGAATACGCCGATTCGGGCAGAAGTTAGCATTCGCAATTCTAATTACATCCGTTGGACACACTGCTCTTTCAGTAACCAGCTGACTCTGTTTATTTGAAAAGGTAATCAGCTTGAAAGAAGCCTCAACATGGGCTGAAGTTAGCTAGCTAGACATTAGCTAGCTAGAAGAAGCCTCAAGTTGGCCTGAAGTTAGCTAACCTTCATCTTAGCCCAAATCCATTTATTTTTCCAGAAGAAATAAGTTGGGAAGAAGCCTCAGTCTGGGCTGAAGTTAGCTAGGTAGCTAACTGGAAGAAGCCTCATCTTTTAAAACTTCTTTTAGTGCATGTTAGCCAGCTAACTACTTCACTCTCACCCTAACTCTTAATTTTATCGAGCAATCAGTTTGGAATACGCCGATTCGGGCAGAAGTTAGCATTCGCAATTCTAATTACATCCGTTGGACACACTGCTCTTTCAGTAACCAGCTGACTCTGGTTATTTGAAAAGGTAATCAGCTTGAAAGAAGCCTCAACATGGGCTGAAGTTAGCTAGCTAGACGTTAGCTAGCTAGAAGAAGCCTCAAGTTGGGCTGAAGTTAGCTACCCTTACCTTAACCCTGATTTATTTATTTTAGAGAAGAAATCAGTTTGGAAGAAGCCTCAGCTTAGGCTGAAGTAAACAAGCTAGATAAAGCCTGAAGGTAGCTAGCTAACTAACTAGAAGAAGCCTCAACCTTTTTACTCTGAAGAAGAAATTTATATCCACCCTGACATGGGGCTTCTTTGTATCTTTAGTCTGCAGAACTGCAGCTAGATACGTCTGCATTGGCAACTTCTCCAATAACAAAAAAACAAAAAAATACACAACACAACATTCAAGATTGTCCCTCGCTCTTCGCTGTAGGTGGGCCTGGATTCTCCCGTGTTTTAAGGAGCTGTGCTCCTTTCTCCTCCATGCAGCTGTCGCAGCCCCACACAGCGTCCACCTCGGCCGTCAGCAAGTTATAGGCCGTCTCCGTCATCCCTGTGCAGACCCTGTGGAACCACTTCTGACAGGAGGCCTCACACAAAATGGCCTCCTGGTCATCATTCACCTCGCTGAGGCAGATTCCACACGGATATACAGGCTCTGACAAGGAGGCGGAGTTGTTTGGCCTGCTAGGGTGAGCCAAAGGTTTATTATTGGCCAAAACAGTGCCACTGCGGCACGTAGTCCCGGGCCTCCGGTTCCTCTCTGTAGGGGTTTCAGGAGGCTGAGGGGACTTCTTCAAAGGGTCGGTGCTGGGGTGGATCATACCATTGATCTTCTCCATCCCTCCATCTAGGCCGGCCGAGACGTTTCCCCTGTTCTTTCCCTTAGGCTCCACCTGGGCGTCTTGACCTCCACCTCCCTCCTCGGAAGTCTGGCTCTGCTTCCGTGGCGATGTGATATTCTGGCTGGCGTTTTTGCTGTTTGTGGTTTCATTTGGGTCCTGTTTGGGTGTGGATGTGGGCGTGTTGGACTGGCCAAAGTTGCTGGGTGGCTGAGGGAGTCCAGGGCTCATATCAGGGCTTGGTTTGACCGCCAGTGGCAGATTCCCGGTTCCTTCTGGACCGAACCCTGGACCTGAGCCATCCGGACCACTTTGGTTTTGATTCACATTGGGAAGGGGCAACTGGTTCAAGTTCTCTCCAGGACCTGGTCTAAAGGGTTGTCCAGGTGGAAGGTGCATGCCGCTGCCATTGTTAAACATGGGCTGATTAGCGAATGCCGGATTGTCCGGATGCCCATAATTAAAGCTGGGCGGCCGGCTGAAGCCCATACCCATCGGGCCCATTGGGTTCTGGGCGAAAGGGTGTGGTGGCTGATTCCGCATCTGGTAAGGTCCCCCATAAGGAGAGGGCATCCTATTCTGGATATGGGGCACCAACCGGGGAGGGCCATAGCCACCAAATCCTGAATAGAGAGAGGGGCCGAAATAAGGGTTGGTGGTGTTCAGCGGCTTCAGTGAGGGAAGAGGAGAGTTGTAGTTGTCGTCAAAAGGATTGGTGGCCACCAAGTGATCGGAGCTGGGGTTCGCCGGAGGAGCATATTCGGACAGTGGTGCAAAGGAAGGAGTCTGTAGGGACACAGAGATGAAATGTGGGTCAGTTTATTGATGGACTGTGTAGGAATTTGTAGTAAATACAATTATAGAGTTCATATAACTTTTTCGAATTATAGAGAACTCTAAGCATGACAGGAAACAAAAAAAAACGCCTCCAGAAGCCACCATGGCTATTCTGACAAGTGTCAGTGACTTTTAAGATGACCTATAGCACTTTGCAACAAAAACCTAAACCGTTACAGAATCAGTGTTGGGCAGATTCCAACCAAATTAGGTGGACTTTGGTTGGATTTGGCAGGTGAGCAAAACTTGGCCTATAAAACCTTTAAACTGCATTGTTTACTAATGCAGATGGAATTTGAATAGACTTGAAAATGAGTTTGAGTCACAAAAAGCAAACATCTGCAAGTTATGAGAGTTCGATACACATGCTAATCAAATAATTTACATATCCTTTATTATTTTATTAAAATTGTTTTTTTTCATCCAGGCGTTTCTATGATGTTTTACAGGTAGACTAAAAAGTATATAAGTGTATAAAAACTTTTGGTTTATTCATACCAGACAACAAACACAAAGGACTGATGGGTTTCGCACATTTTTTTTAGCTGGAAACTCTGGCAACCCGGTACAAGATACATTAATATACTCAAACTATTATAATAATTTTATATTAAAATGAGGAGGTTAACAGGTAAGCACGGCCCAGCTAGAGCCTTTTAATAAAATGATATAAAATGAACACATGAAAACTACATCTGGCACTTAGAATTGGCAAAAATAATGGTACACATTATCATAAGAGGTTATCATAAGAGGTTATCATAAGCCCATCGTATCTGACTCTTCAGCAGCCTTTTTTCCTGAGACTGTAAAATATATAACTTGTACTTGACGGCTATGCTGACTGGAGATTCAATAAAGGAAGGCTGATCTCCGACTTCTGCATAGTACAGTATTACAAAGTTACTTGAGAAACAGGATGTTTGGTACGGAAGTCCTTCATCAACAGTTCAAACAAACTTTGTTTAATATTCCACAAATTTTCTAACCTCTACATGTATTACTGAGTTACACTCTTTTGGGATTATGCGTTGTTGCTATTGTGAGAAAACCTCATCTACAAATTAGTAAGTTTATAAATGACATAAAACGTTCTTAATCTTTTATGTATGTTTGCGTAACAGCAATTTATTCCAAGTAATTTGGGAACATTTGTATTAGTCCAGCTTCACATGATGCAAATTTGTCAAATGGTGGGAAAAAATATAAATACAAACAAGAAAGGAATAATAATAATAATAATCATAATAATAATAATAAGTAATAAGAAAGGAGTTACAAAGTTTTGAAAAGACCGTCTATATAGGCCACTTGATTCTTGTACCTGTGTACTGGACTTGCGTTTCTTCTTGTCCGGGCTCCCCAGCAGCAGGCCTGGCCCCTCCTAATACATCAAGACCACCATCTCCTCCTACAAACCCAAGCAAAATAAAACTTATTATGGAGTTTAAACGTTTTCACTTTTTTAATTTATAATGATCTAGTTCTGGAGAAAAAAGGACAAATCAGCACAATGGAAACAGTGAAAAAAAAACCTAAATTAATCTGCAGACCTACTGACTGTCAATGAAACATAAATCAACTAAAAAGTACTTATCACTGAATTGAATTCATGATTCCTTAACAACATGAATGGTCACCTTGGTTCCTGGAGGTCATTCTAAAGTCATGTCTGACTTTAGAATGACTTGTCGTTAATGACTTAGCAAGTTACACTATATGGCCAAAAGTATGTGGACACCCCTCCTAATTACTGAGTTCAGGTGTTTCAGCTACACCCAATGCTAACAACTGTATAAAGTGGCCAAGACTGTAGCTCAGTGACTTTAAACATGGCACTGTCACAGGACGCCACCTTTGTCACAAGCCAGTTTGGGAAACTTCTGCCCTGCTAGATCCGCCTCCATCAACTGTAAGTGATTTTATTGTGAAATAGAAGTGTCTAAGAGCAACAACAGCTTATCCACGAATACAAAGACCATGCAAACTCACAGAGCAGGGCTGCTGAGTGCCTCTGGGAGCTGCATCAGATTGATGATTGCATGAGGGTTCTTTGCATCACGAAAGAATTCTTCACAATGTGCTATAGATGGTTCTATACAGAACCGTTTATAAAATGGTTCTATATAGCACCCAAAAGGGTTCTTCTATTGTTATGATGTCAAGCTTGTATCAATAGAAGAACCCTTTTGGGTGCTATACAGAACCCTTTCTATGTAGAACCATGTATAGCTCATTCTCCATCAGTCTGAAGAACACTTTCATGATGCAAAGAACCCTTAATCATGCAAAACACTTCTTTGAGTGTTTATGGTTCTTTATAGAACCATTTTCTTTACTAAAGAACCCTTGACGAACCATCTTTTTTAGGAGTGTAGTAAGCTATCACGTTGAACATTGTTAGTTGTTATAGTCGGTTTATTACATATCTTTGTTCTTTGCTTCTAGGACTTCTTATATGTCTTATTATTATATATTATGCTATTATATGTTCCAACATTATAATTATAATGTATATTACAATGTCACTGATCATTTTGTCCTCAGCTCTGGACTCACAGCTCTGTGTTGATTTCTGTCCGTTGATGGTTTCCCTGCTTGTATGATAAAATGTGTCATTAATAAGCCTACAACTCTATGTTCTATAATTGCTGGGGTCTAAAGGGTTAAAAAAACGAGACAACAATAAAAATTTTGTTAATAAAAAATTGTTAATTACTATTCTGTAATAGTAAGAGCCCTTAAGGTATATATTTTATTTATATAGTTTCTATATGCAGTTGTACACACAAATTTGATTGGGTAATTTTCTATATAGAAATAAGTTAACACGTCCTTGCAATCAAACTTAAATATGGAATTTTCTGTATTTCTATTTGTTTTACTGAGTTTAACATACTGGAAAAAAAAAACATAAGACATAAAATAAAATATGCCGTGCACTTTTTTTCCCCAAAGTCAACACATAAACAGCATTAAAATGTGCAGCAGTGTGTTCTCTGTAGAGGATATATTAAATTATTTTCCAAAACATGTCATTTAAACATTTACATACAACTGTGGTCAATTATTGATTTATGTTTCCCTGAGTATAAACTACAAATAAACATTTTGTCTGCTCAAAAAAATGATTGAAATATTGATTTTAACTCTTGCATTCAGAGGAATACAGTCGGGGTGGACAGGGGTCCTTAGTAGGATGTTGCTTTGGCCCCCCAATGTTCAGAAATGGCCCTGCTGACTTCAATTTTCAAAGCATGACAAAATGCACTGAAACCGATCCATTAAATCTAAAAAGAAGAGCCAGAATTACAGCACAGGTTTGGTCAAAGTCACTGTTCTACTGGAGGTTCACTTCAGCTCTTTGGCTGAGCAACTGAACAAACCATTTCAAAGTTCACAGCAGACTCGTAAAGGTCTAGATGTCATTTCCAACCCAGAACTAACATGTTCTGCTTAAAGGGGAACTCCACCTTTTTTTTCAAATTTTCTGCATAATTAAATGTTTAAGATGTAAACAGAGTCGTTCAGAGTGGTTTGGTGTGAAACGCTCTGTTCTAGAGAAACTTACAGTCAGAACTGTTCACAGTGGTGGTGATAGGAACCAGACGTTCACCTCTAAAAGCTCCCTCACAGAAAGTTACTACATGAAACGGTTATGAATTCACTGCCTGATGTCCGAAACATTGTTTATAGTTAGTTTTGGGAGACATTTTTTTGTCTAAAACATACTTTAATCAGTTTATTTTAATCTGCTCAAGGTGGAAGGGTACGAGCAGGGTGTTGTGAGGCAAAACAGTCCCCAAAGCAATCATTTTTTTTTCAGATTCATCACTATTTTACCACCATCAGCAAACTCAGAAGGCATGTATTTGGTTTTGAATGGTAAATAAAATAGCTATATTTGTGCTGTAGACATCCTGAACCCCTGGTTCCCATCACCACCACTGTGAAGAAATATGAGTCTGTAAGTTTCTCTGCAAATGAACCACCTCACAACAAACCACTCTGAGTGACTGTTTACGTCTCAGCTACTGAATTATGCTGAAATTTCGAAAAATCGGTGGAATTCCCCTTTAAAGCGATCAGTTAGTCTAATAAGTGTCTGCACGGTCACTGCCGTCTGCTTAGAAGTTTCATTCAATCCGTCAGAGGCCTTGAAGGCCTTCTTCACCACGAAGCTTCTTAGTTCGTCAGCTTCTTGATCGAATTTTCCCGTTCCACCTTAAATGGTGCAGCAGTTACATTCTGGCGCCGTTTAAGGTGGAACGGGAAAATTCGATCAAGAAGCTGGCGAATAGGAAGCCAACTCGACACACACACATATAAACACACACACACACACTATACAGTGTGAAAAAGCACATTACCTCTGTTTCTTTTGAGCGAAAACGAATCTTTCTCCTGCTCCGTGGACATTACAGGTCACCTCACATGACTCTAAAGACCAAAAACGATCAAATAGGGCGAGATAACTTTCAGATCTGAGCGACTGAAGTGCTGACAACTCGTCTTTCCCCCTTTTAGTAGCTATCACTGCTATCTGTGTGTGTGTGTGAGTGAGAGAGAGAGAGAGAGAGAGAGAGAGAGAGAGAGAGCTACAGGAAAGCTACAACCTCTCGCAAACTTTGGGAGGAGCGGCTGGATTTAACTTCCTTTTACGCGCTCCTGGTGGGGTAAACGGACAGACCCCGGTTAAGCGGAGGCATCCCGGGGGCCCTGCGCGCCGTGGCGGGGCCGCGAACCCGCTCTGGGGGTCGTTTGCTGGGGGCGTGTTGGGGGGCCGCTGCGCAGATACCCCTCCGCCATTAGCATGTGAGTGTGTCTGAACTGCTGCTGCGTTTGATGTGCGGTAGTTTCTGACCGCGGTTTATCTCCACCCGTATTCCGGCAGCGCCCGCCTCCTGCGCTCTGATTGGCTCATACTGTCCCGCCTGACGTGTTGTCATTGGTTACTAAGATGGACTGGGCTGGAATTGGACAGGAGTGCATAGTTCTACTCTGAGAAAAAATGGTGCGTGTTTATTGTTAATTTAAAGGGGAATTCCACCGATTTTTCAGAATTTCTGCATAATTCAGTGGCTGAGATGTAAGTCATTCAGAGTGGTTTGGTGTGAAATAGTTCAGATGTCTTTACAGAGGTAGTGATAGGAACCAGGGGTCACCATGACTACAACACAAATATAGACATTTTAATTACTATCCAGAACCACCAGTGAACCTACACGAGTCTTCTGAGTTTTTAAATGGAATGTTTATGGTGGTGAAATAGTCATAAATCTAGAAAAACAGCTTTCTTGTATCCTTCCACCCTGAATGGATTAAAATAAACTGATTAATATACGTTTTACACTAAAAACTTTGTCAGAATTATTGTAAAACTACGTCTAAGACATCAGGCAGAATATTCATAATGATTTCATGTCATAACTTTCTGTGAAGGAGCTTTCAGAGCCATTAAACTCTCTTTTTACATCATCCTGTTTACATTGTCACTGTTTGACTGTGCAGAAAATTGGAAAAATCCGTGGAGTTTCCCTTTAGTTGTATAGTTGTACAGTTAAAGTTTTTCCATGTACTCACTGTTTGCAAACAACAAAAACAACAACAGTAATAATAATGATAATAATAATAATAATGATAATAATAATAATAATAATTCGGGATCCACTATGTGGTCTGATGCTGATATCCAATAGTTTTCACGTATGTGTCTTCTGTAACCAATACAAAAATACTAACTAGATCCATCTGAATTAGCATTACAGAGAAATATGACTTATTTGTATTATTTGTATTATATTGTGTGTGTATTATTAGGGCAGCAGCCCAGCACCTAAACATTCTGCTCTTCCAGAAAACAATCAGTTCATCATCAAATATCGGTCAAAAATACTAATTAAATCTCTGCTGATACTGACTTGATTCCGATATCGTTGTTCATCCTTAGTCTTAATAATAATCATAATAAACTTTTGATATAGAGCATTTTTCAGATAAACAGAGAGCACATTACAGACCACTGATAAAGTTCAGTAACTGTATTAAGAGAAAGCTAAACTTTGTTTATTTTTTGTTTATATATACACACACACACACACACACACACACACACACATATATATATATATATATATATATGTATATATATATATATATATATATATATATATACATATATATATATATATATGTGTGAAAACCCATATCTCCAAAATGGTAACTTTTCAGGAGAAGGAAAAAAATCTACTTTACTTTTAATGTAAGTCAATGGAACCAGAATTTTTTCCGATCATTTTAGGCTTTTTCCCTCGGTCCATTCTTCATGAAATTTACACACAATTTAAAGAGCAACTGGCGTTATTAGATTATGTCCAAAACTGAAAAATGATAAAAAAGAGAGAGATTTTGTACATGTATATATAGTATAGCATAGAATAGTATAGTCCTGCTTTCTGATTGGCTAGTAGTGCCCTGCACCTTTTGTGGGTAGTAGGATATAATCCAGTTTGGACTAATAGAGCTCTGCCTCCTGTGCTCTAATTGGTTAGCTGCATATTCCTGCACTAGGATTGGCTACGGTTGGCTTGGTTGAAGCACTAGCCAATCACAACACAGAAGGGCGGGGCTTGTCAGAATATAGGTGGGAAAAACAACACGCTGCTGATGTAACATTAGAAAGGAAGCAGCTTCTAACTGCGTTATTACTGAAGCCCTGACTAATCATTCTGTCTTGGAAATCACTGCGTTCAACTGTGTGGACATTTCTAGCCTGTTATATCGTCCCACTTTGTGTTAAAAAGCAACATTTATGATATAAATATTATACGTCCAGTAGACTTTCTTGAGGATCAGGAGGAACCTGGCTAAGTGGATTTGGTAAACTGATGATCACTGCTGGCTGTTTTGATTAAATCAAGTTAAACAGGTGTGTACAAGAAAACAGCCTACCAGCATCCGCCCACAGGCATGTGTTTACTGTGCTTGTGTTGTGGAGGTTTATGTACGGGCATGTTAATTGTGTAATATGAACATGTTCACAGATGAAGGCCATTACAGGTTGTAATGGAAATGACTGCTGCCCTTGAAAATAAACACGACACACATATACATTCATTTTTACCTGATTTTATTATTTCTGGCAATCAGTTATTCATTTATGACTTAAAATAGTTGGCTTTTAATTTGTTTTTTCCTATATAAGACTTTTGGCGTGGATATTAAGGTTATAGAGAGAAAAAATAATAAACTGGCCGAAACATCTTCCAAAAATCTGATGCTTAATGTGTACTCAAAAGGAAAGAAATAGGTAACAAAGAGAACAGATAACAAAACACTGACAAGTAAAATAATCTCAGAGAGGTACATTCAATGTTCAAGGCTTGTGGTGGGCTTGACCGGTGCAGCAGCGTGGGGCGGCTGTTGAGCCCCCCTGAGTTAAAGTTGTATGTGGCCTCCAGACGCCCCAGCTACGGCTCCTCCAGCAAACCCTCCACAGCCTCTACAGGTCAGGGCACATCGAGGGGCACCTTGAGCCCCTTCGTTCATCCCTTTAACAAGTTCAGAAAAGGAACAAAAAAATAAAAACAACTCGTGAAACGCAGGGCGTGCGTAATCCTCCACAGCAGACTGAGCGGACAGACTTTGCAGTGTATTGTGATCTAATCTAGAATCAACTATACTGGGTTTCTACAGTTAAATTAACTTGGGGGGTTTAATGAAGATGGAGCTCAGCTGTGATGCAAAGGATTGCGAGCACACCAGAAACAAAAATACCAAAAAGAAATAAATGATATACAATATACAACATGTACTGAACAGTTAACCATTCCAGATTCATGTTTTCTGTAGTGGATTCACAGTGTATTCAAACAATAACAGTTCAGGCATCGAGGCAAAGCCAAAACCTCACTCTGTACTTTCACACAAAAATAAAAAAAAAAATGAAATGTTAACATTATTTTCTCCTCCAGTGAGAAAATTCTAAAAAAAGAAAAAAAAGTCAGTCATATTCTTCTATTTCAACTTTGGTTCGCTTGAATGGATTGACGTAAGCTCAACACCCGTTCATTAACAAGCAATCAAATCCTACACTGGAATTTTTAAACAAGAATCGTTTTGGAAAAATTACAAAACATCATGCAAAAGGTAGGAGTACAAGATAATGTTCTGTGCAACGGTGACTACATTCTTTGGTTTAAGGTTGTTTGCTTTGAAATGAAAGCTAAAAATCTGATTTGTCTCTCTGGGTCGCTCTGGTTCATGCAGAATAGGTCAATTAAGGCCAATCAGCTTCCCCTGATTGAAAGAATTTCAGCTGCGTAGGATGCTGATTAATATAATATATATATTTATATAATTTTCACCTACAATACAAACACATCCATGCGGCGTGAAAATCTTTTGAGGCAGGCCGACGGCTGAACTGTTTGGTTTTAAGCGAGCATGAAGTCCAGAATTTTCTTGATTTGTATCGCTGAAGAAGCAGCTCCTGCACCTCAGGAGCGCTGAGACTGCCCGCATCTCAACTCTTTTGGTCACCATACGAGGGCACAAACATGCAAGGCATCTCAAAGCGGGGGAAAAGCAGCATCTTAGGCCTCTGCTCCACAGCCGGACAGAACAAACTAGATTAAAGGAAGTGTTTACAGAAAAAATAGATGTACACAGTTTCCCCAGTTTCCTGTTTGGTGTCTCTTGCTTTGTTAGTTTTGCACTGGAGCTCTGAGGCTAATGTCGCTAGCAGGTCACATAAATCTTTTTGGGTGGCACAGACTTGTATTATATTAGCCTCATAGCTCCAAACCTCAGACACCAAACATGTCTGTACTGATTAACAACATTTGGGGTAATCAGCAAACTGTGCAAACCTGATTTTTCAGCAAACCACACCTTTGAACGCACTTAGAATTTCAGAAGTTCCTCCAATTGCCTGCCTTCCCACAGTATCCTGTAATTCTAGCCATGTCCGATCCAGATTCGTTCGGTCTGGCAGTGAAACAGTGGCTCTCGCTCATCACTGGGACTTTCATCTTTGGTCTGGTTCATAGAAAAACACATTGTCATCGTCGTAACGTCCCAACAACCAGCAAAAAGCTCAAAAAACCAAACAGAAGTAGCAAACAATCCTTAGGATGATGGCGTCTGTCACCGTTGCACGTTTTAGTCGTGTGATCTACAAAACTTCTAAAACAAATTCAAAAGACAAGTGCTAACCTTACTTTTCTACAACAGCGTCAACTATATTATAGGACAAAAGAAGTAACTAGAATGCGTACTCAGTAGTACATATACGTCAAGAAAAATATATATCTTTGGAGGTAAAAGAGGTTTTTGTGTCCACTCCTTTCTTCACTTTCATTTCAATGATTCATAACATTTTCATTCTTCACTCTTCTCCGTTTTCTAAAGCATCTCTCAATCACACGCCTGAGGATCGCTTAACATGCCTGACTCCGCTCATGAAAATCATGATACCTGATGAGCTGAAAAAGGTGTTAAAGCAGAAAAAAAACACAGAAACTGTCCACAGCATGGGGGTCACCAGGACTGGGACTAGGAACCGCTGTGGTAGGATCCTCTCACAAATCTCCAACAGTACTAATCTCTTTCACTCCTCACTGACTCTGCTATAAGGCCATTGTTTAAATAAGCCTTTAAAGGAATTCACCCAAAAGTGCTAACATGGAGCTTTATTGCTAAAACATGCAGGAAAGCTTGTGAGGCCTGGGACGATGATGGCCGGTTATGACCGGTTTTTTGTTCATCATTAGCATTTTTGGGCATTAAGCATTCCTTTAAGGTTTGCTGTATTGAACCAAGCCGGTACCAGCATTTTAAAAAAGAAGAAGAAGGAAATGAAGAAAATAAACTTGGAAAAGAAAACCGGATCTACCGCAGACATACAATTCCTACTGAAAGGCCTTTCCATGTGAGAGAGGGCATCTGCATTAAAACTGCCTTGAAACACTATACAAACATTCAACAGAGGTCAGTGGCAATCAGCCTAGCAAAAGCAGCCCAGCTCTACAAGGATACCCTGTCAAAACAAACCATGTCCCTTCAAACATCACATGGCTTTTCAAATGTACTAAACCTTGAGTCCCTGAGTTGAGTACAACCAAAACACTAATTAACACAACAATGCTTAAAACGAGGTAGTTTAAGACAGAGACTGTAAGAGCACGGATACATTAACATACACACATTCATATGACGAACCTGAGAACGTTGGTGATCTATGGAGCGGATGAAATGACTTCAAGTACATCATTACCTGATCAATGTGGAGTGAAATAAAAGGTTGAAAGTTCAACATTCGTGAACTTTGAGGTAGATCGTAGAAGAAAATGTGACAAAGGCTTTGTACTCTTACAATCCCACTTCAGGACTGAAAAACAGACGAACATGGACAGACAGACAGACAGACAGACAGACAAACTCTAAGCTAGCAGGAGCAACATTATTGCTATAAGGAAGTCTAACCTGTCATGTTGATGGGGAGGCCCATTACATAACTTGCGCATAATTAGATATTAAATATATATGCAGTACTGTGCAAACGTCAGAGACTACCATCCATTTAATTTCCAGTCAAAATGGGCATCAAATATGTTAAATTACTCGTTTTGTTGAGGAGATATAAGAGGTTAGATATGCATTAGAAAAGGAAGTCAAAGGAAAATATGTGAAAAAAACTGGCGATCAAAAAATGATTAAAAGCGACACAGAAAATGAGACTCCTAACAACCACCTGGAAGACCTGGTTGACACCAAAACTGCCCCCCATCAGATAAACAGCACTTAAAGCTTTCATCTCTGAGAGAGAGGAGAAAATCAAGCTGCTTCAGATCTGAAAACATCCACAGGTGTTTCTGTCCATCCTTCCACTGTGAGAAGACGACTCAGCGCTGTGGGTCTGAAAGGATGTGTAGCTGATCAAGAAGAACCTCACTGAGAAAAGGAGACGGACACATCAAACAAAGAAGCTGAACGATGGACTGACCACCCCAGAGTCCAGACCTCAACACCACTGAATGTGTTTGATTACTTCAGAAAAAGATCAACCAGCTTCTAAGACTGAACTTTGGAGGTGTGTCTGCAGATTCTTTGAGGAGCTGAAAGTGAGTCTCCTGAAAAGAACGGAAGCTGTGATGAAGGTAAAGAGTCACATACTAAATACTGATAAAATGATATTATGTTTAGTTGTTGAGGCTTCTGTGTCATTTTCTGTTAAATATGTGTTTCCTGCTTTATTCCCGATGCTGAAAAATGAGCTTGTACTTAAATGGCTGTTTTGACTGGAAACAAAATAAATGAAGGGTGGTCTCTGACTTTTGCGCAGGAGTTTAACATGTGGTAAACTACGTTATATAGTTAAGCAGCCACAAATGTTGATGTGGTTAAGGGTAAACTGAAGCAAGTGGTCAGCACTGTCACACTAGCCACAATTCACTGTTAGCCACATCAGTATTGTTTTGGCTGAAGCTATCCCTTTAATAATGTAAAAAGAGGCTCTGGCACCTCTCCTCCAGTGATATACTCACTTAAATAACGTCTGAAAACGCAACATCGCACACTTCACATTGTTTGGACAATCTTTTCAAAAACATTCACGGTGGGTGAGGTTTTTTCCTTTCAAACACAAATGTTTTTTAAAATAAAATGAAAAGAAAAGAACACATTCACTGAAACGGAGGGCTCTGAACAGCCAAACCAAATAGTGATTCAAAGCAGCCTCGTGGTTCGGGGGCTTCTGCTTACTAGTCCACTGAAGCAGAGAGGAGGTAGGAAGTGTTGTGGAAGTTAGACCTGGAGTGAGCATTAATAACAGCTCACCACTAGAGGGAAAGTACAGCTACAAAAGCTTCATCACCGCGCACTTCCTCCAGGCCAGCAGATGGCGATGTAATCTCCTCTAGCTCAACAGCGAGGTATGGCTCACGCTCCTGATCTGGACTTCCCTCTGAACCCCCACTTTCCTCTTTGCTGAGGGACGCGGGACGACTGCTCGCGCTCGACGACAGGTTGGTCATCTCTGTCTCGTCGTGTGAGTAGCGTCCTGAGTCTCCAGTCTCGTGGCTGCCTTCGCTGGAGTGGGAGCCCTCTGAGTCGCCCCCTTGTGGTCCCAGCAGGGCGTGGAGGGAAGACGGCTGCTGTAGCGATGTTGCTCCAGGTGACTCGTCAGAGTAGCGCAGCAGAGTGGTGCCTGGCTGATACATGGAAGACGTTCCAGGGACCTTCTTTACCTGCTAAGAGAGGTTGACGACATAAGGAGGGGAAAAAAGAGAGAAATATTTTTATTACTTTGAACACTAGATTTATTATTCAAGGGTTTTTCTTTTACATTAAAAAGAACTGGTAAAGTTTACAGAAACCATTACTTCATCAAATCAATCTTAATTGACGAAAAATATAATTATTGAGAAAAGTGTGAGTGATTTCCTACTTCAACACCCTTCCTGAGAGATAATTAGTAACACTGGGCAATACATTTATTAATAAATACATAAATATGTGTCAGTAAACACTTGGATTTGTCCGCTATGCCATACCTTGTTTTCTTTCCGAAATAAATTCCATCTCTGTTCCTTCTTCGTCTCAGCTGTGGGTCTGACGGGGCCGTAACTGTTTATGATCAGATCTGTCCCACCCTGAGAATGAAACACATGGTTTATTAACACTTTTGTGCCATAATCCATCTTCTTATGAAAAGACTCTACTGTCTGCATTTACCTTTGCATCAATGAAATGCTCTCTCATCATGGGCACCATGACATCAGCATTCTCAGCTTGATTTTCATTGGCTCGGAGCGTAGCAGTTGGTGGGCCTTGACTTCCCTGCCTTATGACTTTGCTGGTACATGACTTCCTGTGAGGTGATGTATTCATGTCAGTGAATCAGCACCGAATCAGTTCAACAAAGTGAATCACTGAATCAGCACTGAACTATGCAAATCGCTGATTCTCTGAATTAAAGAGTAAAATAATTATAATCAGGTGAACACTTACCTGGCTTTGCCTCGGCACACCAGGATGAGAGCGCAGATGATGATGCACGTGAATGCAATACACACACCTACGACAATACCCGTCACTGACCGCTGGTCCAGATGGTAAAAGCCATCAGAAAACACTGCAGGGACACCCATAAGCATTAGGAACACACTCTCCAGCAAAACACATAAACAATAAAAAGCCTACAAACAGGGCAAAATGAGCAGAGCAGACATGAAAGTGTACCACACAGCTTACCTCAGGCAAGCTCAAATACACAGTATTCTCTGAGGGTACAATATTATGAAATGATATGTAAATACTCTCCAATAAAATAAGCAGCATAAAAAAGCTATTACTAATTTCAAGTACAGTAAATCAATACTGGTAATAAATATTGATCTGTGTATTCCAGTCATGTGTAGGACTGTAATAACAATGCTTTAATCTTGAAAAAGTCATTTGGAAAAATGCCTTGCAGGTTTTCCTACACACCAGTGGCATGGGTGGACCCATGAGAGTGAGAGGCGTGTCCAGAAGTTCGGCCATCGGAACTAACAGTGAGTTCTACAGCAGGTGAGAAAGGCCCATCTCCCATTTGATTAGAGGCGGATACTTTCACCAAATACACATTGCCAGGCTGCAGATTCTCCAGTAGAGCCATGGTGATGCTCCCTGAGTAAAGAAAATTAGTAAATTAATGACAAAGAAAGACAAAGCCTTTTCTTTTCTAAGCATTTCCAATAATTACCTAATGGATTTGAATATCAAGTTTCAGACAATGGGAGAAAATAATTAGTAGAGAATTAAAAAACTCAAAGAGAATAATGAATAATAGTCAAGAACTATTATAGCAGCAATTAAGTCACAGCTCCTACAATCCTACATTTATTCCATCAGGGACAGTTCCTACACATTTATTCCAGTTGATAGAGAAATATAAATGTACAGGATGTCAGTAAAGCAGTACACCATATTTACAGCAGTTCTGACCCGCCATCAAAAAGGAATGCTTTAATAAATCACAAGTTCTGTAGCTCTAACTGCCAGTACATGCTCACAGTTAAGCTCCACAGGAGTCCAAGGAGACGTTTCAGAGCAGTAGGCTGATTTATAACAGAAGGTCAGTGAATGTGCAGCTTTAGCCGCAGTCATAAAGAGCTGTTATAAAGAACATTCAGAGCCATGTTCTGTTTCTTTACGAAGCCTCTGTGGGTAAGCAATCACTACCATTCCTCAACGGCGTGACATTTTGAAAAGATTAGTGGGTCTTTACTTCAACAGCTAAGCGCAGATGCCTTACATACTCAGACGTTGCATGTTATAAATTTCAAGCACGCTGGTGACCGCCTGCCCTCACACACACACACACACTGCTCACCTTCTCTCTGAAGGATCTGCCACTCGCCAGCAACCCACGCTTTGCGTGATGCATACAGGATGGTGTAACGTGTCACAGCAACACTGGGCTCATTAGGTGGTTTCCATGACACCAGTGCCGTGTCTCCTTCAATCAGAGTGACTTTAACTCCCGCCGGGGGCAGAGACGGAGCTGAGAGCAACAGAGAGAACAACCAGCATTAGCCAGAGCAACTACATAGCAAGCTACAATTCAAAAAACGCATCAGTCCCCATGCACGACAAAAGCACCAACTCTGAAGGAAATCTCGTAGTAATGAGACCACTTAGGCTTTGTTCACACAGCAGGTAAAAGTGGCCCAAATCCAATATTTTTTCTTCAAATGTGACACAGATGTTACTGTACTTGTGTGTGCACTGCATTTGACTGTTTTGGTCGCACTTCAATGAGGCAAACACATTTGAAGCACAAAGAAGAGGTCAAACAGCATGAAAACACTGTAGTAGAGGTTTTGCTTTTCATTTTGGCACATGTTCAATGTTTCAATGAGGCAAAAATGTTTAAAATACTGCACAGTGGAAAGCAATGCAGCCGTGCCCTGAGTAAATTTCAAGATGGATTAGATTCAGTTATGACACAAATTCAACACTTCATTTTTTAAATGCTAATCCTCACATACTGTTTCTCAGTAAAGAGGTCAAACGACATGAAAACAATGCAACAGAGGTTTTGTTTTTCATTTTTTCAAGCATTCTACATGTCACTATAGAAAAATAATGTCATGTGTAGTCCTTTAATGTAGTGACTGCTTTTCTGGCACAAATTGCTCTCCATAGACTTCATGATTGATGCTGTTACTGTGTGTGAATAGTGAACCTGTGATGCAACAAGATTTGGGCAATAACTGTTTTAGCAAAAAAATACTGATACTGAACAATAACTATAACTAGTGGTTAGTTCTCACCATCTGGCAGAGTGCTCTGATACACCACAGGGCTCCAGGGGCTTGTAAGCTGGTCTACATGCAACCGCACAGCAAACTCATACCGAGTATTCGCCTCCAGGTCCTTCACAAGCAGACTCTGATCCCCCCTGCAGCCAGCAAACAACCAAAAAGGAAGACAGGAATGATTAAATGGCCTCATACTGCTTGTCGGGTATACTGAACATACTGCTGAGCTTGCGGAATTCAGATCTACTAAAGATATTAACTGAAGTTCGTTAACTGTAAATATTCTACTAAAGTCATCCTTCTTAAATGCTTTAATTTATGACATTCCTTAGAGAATCTCAAGCTGTATGCCCTTATGCTTGTCTATCTTCTCTGTTTCAGACACTGTAAACCGGGGCTGCCAAAAGTGCGTCGCACATGCCGTCTGATTTGACCTGCCAGAAAGGCACTCTCACCGAACGAAAGAACAAACACATCGCTTTTGTCTCCAAAATGGTAACTTTACAGGACGAGTAAAACCTAATTTACTTTTAATGTAAGTCAAGTGAACCAGATTTTTTTCTAGTAAGTAATTTTGGGCCCATTTCTTTTGGTCCACTCTTTCAAAAAATGTATATACAATGTAAAGGGCAACAGGCATTTTCAAATTACGTCAAGAACTGAAAAACAAAAATGGAAATATATCTCCAAAAATGGAAATATCTCTAAAATTGGAGATACTTCTTCCGACAGCAGTGATATTTCTGTCCTATATATAACTTGTTAAAGTCTATTTTCTTTGAAAATTGTGTTTCTGAAGTATTTTCGTAACAAAATATAGTGTCTTCTTTGTCTTTTTGGCCCTCAGGCCACCACAAGCATTGCACTTTGGCCCCCAAGACAAAAAGTTTAGGCCCCTGCTATAAACGCTCCCTCCCTCAGGTCAGCAGTACTCACGTCTGTAGGTAGAGCACCAGCGAGGCGTTCTGGAGGCCGACCGGGTTACAGCGGACCGTGTAGTTGACAGTTTGGCCGCCGGTGAAGGCGGGTCGAGCCCAGTGCAGGAAGACGGAGGAGGAACTGTTTGTCCGTGCGTACACGTGGTGGGGAGGAGGAGGTGGGGGCACCAAACGATCACGTACCGCTTTAATGCAAAGCAATATAAACACACAGTATGTCAGTAAATCAATAAGCAAGAAAATTAATGCACAAAATGAATGTGCTGGGGAACTCTTTTTGTATTGTTTTAGCTTTGTCTCACACCAGGGGTGCCTAACCCTGGTCTTGGAGATCTACCACCCTGCAGAGTTTAGGTCCAACTCTAATCTAATACACCTGTTTCAGGCAATCAAGGCCATTATGCATGTCTTGTGTGCTGAGTCAATGTCCTTTTCTAAGTTCAGTGAAATTAATGCCCATGGAAATGAATTATATGCTACAGATATTGTACAGATTAGGTTGGTAACACTGGAGTGTCCCTTGCATTTTGAATGGGAGAGAACAGTGTGTTAACATAAAGCACGCAGCATAATTATAACTGTCAGTATAATTGTGTCAGTGATTGTGTCAGTACTGTATGCACTTCTCATACTGCATACAGACACTCTTGCATTAGAGTAATATGATTATTGTAACATAATTATTAAAATTAAAATAATTTTAATGTGATCAAGTGTGGTGGTCCTTACAGACACATCCTGGAGTACTGATGGTCCGGTCAGCCTGGTAACCCTCCCCTATGAAGTTAAAGGCCAGGAGCTTGACGTGGTATTTCTTCCTGGGATCTGATTAGAGAAAGAAGGGAGAATACAAATTGTGAATTTTTACCAGATATGAATGCTCCCATATGGGTAGGTGAGATGACTGGGATAACTTTATTATTATCGTGCCTAATTACGTTATGATACAGTTTTCTGAACCTTCACTGTTTCTCAGTGTGCATAAACACACACATACAATCACTGCCACTCAGCACTCATAGCTCTTTACTGTTTATGTAAGAAATGGCAAAAAGCTTCATGATACATAAACATATCATGATATTTTGTTTTTGATATCCAATAGACGCTTTCTACAATTGATCTAAGTCTCTTATTTATGAGGCATGATCAATTAGATCAACGCTCTGCAGCTTTGAGAAACCCTGTCTGTTCTCCTCCCTCTGCAGAAAACAAAAGACGAGTGCTCATCTCTCTGTTCATACCTCAATTATCCTGTCATCTCACCCTAACCTCCAGTCACACTTGTCCATCCCCCACTAACCCACACACCCCACATGGCCACTGGTCACTTCCCTTTCACAGCCTGCTCGCAGAGGTTAAACCAGGCAACAAAAGATCATGGGAAACAGAGAGAAAGAGAGCGAGATGGATGAACAAACAGAAATAGTGAGGTCAGTGACATGGCCAAAGTCAGGACCTTAGAGTCGGGAACAAAGACCATTTCGCAGATGTTGGTTCAATAACTATCCGAGTGGTCAGCCTTTGATTAATAAGATGCTAAAAGGCAAATGCAAAGCAGAGCACCAAACAGCACTCTAGAACATTAAAGACCACAAAACAGACATCATATCCCATTGACCAAGAAAAGTATTTGTAAACCACTGAGGAAAAGAGAAGACAGACAGATAGATAGGTAGATAGGTAGATAGATAGATAGATAGATAGATAGACAGACAGACAGAATATTTCTCTGAACATTTCTGAAAAATGTGCAGGCCGAGTCAAATGTCAGAGATCCCCAAAATATCTGATATAATAATTATGAGATTAATCTAACATTTCTAAGATTTCTAGAATGAAAGGAAGAGATGAAACAAATGTTTCAGTAACTCAAAAAAAGAAATAAAACCAACAAACAAAACAACAACAACAGGGGAACAGGGAAATTGCATCAATTTTTAAAAATTTCTGCGTAATTAAATCTTTGCAATATAAACAAGTTTATTCAGAGTGGTTTGATGTGAAATGCCCCGTTGTAGAGAAGCTTGTCAAATTAAAACTCTTCACAGTGGTGGTGATAGGAACCAGACGTCTGAAATGTTTAAAGTGTCTAAAGGCTCCCTCACACAAAGTTAATGCATTGAATGGTAAAGAATACACTGCTGGGTGACTGAGCCACTGTTTTCTGACAGTTCTGAGAGAAAGTTTTGGCTTAAAACATATTTTGTTTAATCTGTTAATAGTTGAGGGGTATAGGCAGGCCTTTCTAAGGCAAAGTAGTCCCCAAAGAAAACTTATTTTTTTCTGATTTAAATTATTTGACCGTCATGAGCATTACATATACAAAGTGAGAAGACACATGTAGGTTCGCTGGCCATTTTGGATAGTAAATAAAATGGCTATACCTATGTTATTACTTTATTAGGCACAACAATGCCTGGCTCCCATCACCATCCTTATAAAGTAATCTGAGCAGGTTAGTCTTCTATACAATGAACCATTTCACATCAAACCACTCTGAATGACTTGTTGAATGTGTTGTATGGTACAAACTGTGAAGTATTTTGGAATGCAAAGAGGGCAAGTTTCCCGACAGTCTAACTAAATTACACTGAAATGTTTTTCATAAATCTCAAAAATAATTATTTGGAGCAACAAAGCTGTAGCACAATTTAAAAGTACAAAAACACCTACACATTCACACTAAATTTCACTTTAATGTCACACAGTTAAGTAAGAATTGTTTAACAGCCCAGATTCAGCTTCATTTCTAGGTAATACACAGGTACATACTACTTAAAACTCTTATGTCTTTGCACTGCCTTTTTCCTAGTACTTCAAGGCATTTCCCATTGACTTTCCTGCTTAAAGCACTTTAGAGTTTGTACCACACACCTACCCAGTCAATACCTAGAACCTCAGTGTATTTTAGTCTTGCAACTCACCATCACGTTACCCAAAACAATTACCTACTATTTTGGACCTTGTTTCCCACTTTTACTAGGTCAATACCCAGAACTTAAGTGACTGTAAAAGAAAGTGTTACCAACAATTTTTACTCATAAAAATGTAAATATTAATTTCATGTAGCAAGAAAGAACACTGCTGCTAACATAATGCACATGGAATGTTGACCACAGTAAGCAAACTGATGAACTGTATCAAAACAGCATGATAATGTCCTAAAACCAATAGCACGACAATCTATTGCAAACTCCTGGGACACTCAGAAATAGCAGAACATCCGTCAGCCTAATGAGCTCCTGCTTGGCAGGAAAGCACAAACATATCCCACCTCTGCATCTCACCCACATCACAACTTATTACACCAACACTGCAGTGCAAGGTCAGACAGCTAAATGTCTCATAGCACTGAGAGTGCGGAACATATGATTACTGAAAACAGAACAGGACGAGACGTGCAGCGTTCAACACCGTTTGCTCTGGGTTGTTTGTTTGTTTAAACTAAGAAAATCTGTCTGTTTTGGTGGCCCAGGCTTCCAAGATTTCAGCTTCATCTAGGGTTGAATGATTGATTGTATTTATATCACAACTGCAGTTTGAAGGAGTGCAGTTTTCAGAATGTAAAAGCTGCAGTTTTAAGCACTTCCTGCATTATTCAGTGTTGTCTTAGCAAGCTTTAAGTGGGGACATTGATCTTGTAACACAGAGCTTGTGAGCTGACTTTCTGGCACAATACATTCAGTGCTCAAACCTCAAGCTTGGAAAACTGTGTGTGCTGGTCTTCTTCAAAAATAAAAAGACTGGAGCTTAATTCATATCAACCTGAATTCTTAGCCATTTGGTATATTCGGTAGGTAATGCTATCTCCTCATATATTTCAGGTTATTCTGTGTATTATTTATTTGTGTAGGCAGTATCATGCATTTTATAGAGCTGTGAATGTTAATATAAGTGTAAGTATCAATGTATGCAGTTGCTTGCACTTTCCTAGGATTTAAAATATATTTTGTGTCTGTATTTAAAGACATCCTCTGCAGGGAACACACTTCTGTGTATTTTAATGCACAATCACTGCTTACTTGATGTATTTAATATATTGGGAGGAAAATAACTGCATTCAAATATGAATCGCAACACTGGTCTGAAATCACTCACAAGTGACTGAATGCCTGATTCAGCATGAGGGACTGATAATGAGCTATTCAGTTGAATCAATTATATGGATTATGGTAGTAACTATAATATGCAATTTTTTGTGACCCTCAAAGGCCTTAATCTGAATTCAGCAGATTTTGCTACTTGATGCATGCAGTATTCACACTGGCCACTAGATGGCACACAAGCTGAAAGAGTGGTGCAATAAGTGAGCATCTCAAGCAGTCAAGATTCAGGTTGCGTGCACCTATATCTTGGCAGCTGCAACTGGATTATTAAGCTAATTACACGATCACAGTTCAAGCTTACTCTTGGAAGTAACATTCAAACGTTTTTTAAACATCTGCCCAGTGACAGCTGGGGAAAATGAGCCATCTGGCTGAATGTGGCACATTTGTGTTATGAAGTGGTGTGGATTAGTGTGCACCGTTCACATATAAACAAATAAAAGTAAGTTAAAATTGAACTACACTGTCATTTACTGGATTTAAGGTGTGGATCTGAAGATGTCTGTGTGTCGCTTTTAGATGAATCAGTTTATCAATACTAATCAACTGCTGTAGTCACAACGAAACTAGTTTTAACTTTTTGCTGACCACTGACCACAATCAGTAGTTCAAAAAAAATTGCCTGTCTGGCCATTTACTTAAAATCTGTTTATGGCCTTTGGATCAGGGAGTGATAAGTGCTGTCTGGGTCCAGGTAGCAGGAAGTGATTGGATGGCCGGATGAAAGGGGGTGTGGTCTCTGGATTCCGAGCCTGAGGAAGCTCGGTGGAGCCTCCTAACAGAGGTCAACGTTCAAGCTCAGATAAAACTCCTATAGAATCCGAGGTCAGGGGGCAGGAACACGAGCTGGGCCTCTTTCTGCCTTCCACAGCCCTCACAGAAAGAGTGGGGGAGGGAGAGAAGACAGTGATGTCCCTCTTTCAACATTACCTGCATGTCTTCCGTGACTTCAGGCATTATTCGGATGACCCACCTTCTACGCTTACCTGTAGTTTTAGCCATTTGGTGGATCTTCATGGATTTCAAGTTATCTTGTGTATTATTTGTTTATTTGTGTTGGCAGTATCACACATTCTATATGGCTGTGAATGTTAATATAAGTGCAAGTATTGCACTTTTCTGTGATTCATAATATACTTAGTGCCTATATTTAAAGAGCCCATATGAAGTGAATCAAGTGAAAATAAGTTCTCCATCCTCTACACAAAAAAAGGCACTTCTGCACAATTTAATACATTTTAATTAAGTGTGTATTAATACTAAGCAAACACACAGAAATTGTGCAGGAAAAATCTATATTTAAAGTTGTTTCCTGTAAAAGACGTTTTCATATGTTTTCACTTAGAAAATCAACAAAATATGTAATTTGACTGGGGGTGCTCCAACTTTTGCAACAACTGTTTATGAATAAGCTGTGTGCCAATTGGCTGCCCTGTACTGTGCCACTTTCAAAAAGCAGTGTGGGCTTAAAACGTCAGTGTGAATGGGTGGGGCTAAACCGCTGTAGGCTGAAAAGGTGGATGTATGTAAATGAGTGCATTTTTGTGACATCACAGAAACAATCAATTCAAAACAAGCTGTTTTTGCAAGCTTAGTTTCCATATATGGACTGGGGTGAGAATGGTTTTGAAATGTATGATCAAACCTACAAATCTGGAGCTGAATTCACCGAAGTGTCTTTCTTCTATTTCTTAATTTCTTTCTTAAGAAAAAAGT